AAGAAAACTGATCGACGATTTTTTTGAACTTTTCGGTTCCCATCTGTGTCTTAAAACGGTGCATTCAGCCTTGAATTGAATGGCGACACAACAAAAATCACCGCAGTATCCATTTTCTTTTCCTGGCAAACAAGAACTACCATGTGATAAATTAACGATCTTTACCATGTCCCGTAAAAAGCACCGGCAGCAGCTTGTTTTGGTATTCCGACAGCTTTAAAATAGAGCTTATTCAAGTTGACGACGCTCTTTAAATACATAAACAAGGATTTTTGAAAGTTGTTTTGAACTTTTCCCGTTGCTACGTTTGAGCCGCGTTCGTATGCGAGAATTTGGCGGGAAGGGATGCATAAAGGCAGAATAATGGTCAGCGTTCATTCGCTGACGCGAGACTCGCGCAATACTCTAAACCGGTCAAGAACAGGTAAAAACCCGATTTTTAAATCAATCAAAACTATAACAAAATTGTCAAATCTGATTGGCTATCAACTGCCCTGATTTCAGCCTTAATTGGACAGTGTAATAGGACAGTACGCGTCATGCCTAAGTAACTGGACAGTACGCGCCATCACGCGCGCGCTGAAATGGCTCTTTTTTTTTCACTGCTAGCAAAACAAAATTTCGAATTTCTTGTGTTTTGGTTTAAAAAATAGCCTATTGTATCACAAATTTTGTTAAAGTTATGATTAATTGGTAACAGGACTGAGTGGAGTCCAATTCGGTCTGATACGAATGATTAACAAAATCGGAAAAGCTACAGTGCAAAGGATTGTCCTAAAAAAATTTTGGAGGCTTACCAGTGCTTAAATTTTTCCAGAGGCTTGCTTTACATTTTCCATATATTTGTCTGTAATTTTCCCGGGGCTTTCTTACAGACAAATGTATAGGAATTTAAAAAGTGGTTCTAGGTCTTCTAGTGAACGTAACGCCCTCATATTTTTTTTCAGTAGAATCCTTAGGAGTGAAGCTTTGGTTTAAAAATCATATTTTTTTCAGAACAGTAGTTTTACGGAAATTATTCGAAATTAGATTCTCATAAAATCACTGTAATTTCTCACGCGTTTGCCTACTCGTCAAGATGGCGTCGAAAGCCGTGACAAGGTCTTATTCACTCGTTAGTGTGACGCTGGAGTCTGTTGAAAACTGGACATTGTGTCTGGCTCGAACTCGCTTCTGTCTTTCTTTCGTTGGTCTTTGAAAAAACACGGCAAATGGCAAAGAAGCTTGTCAAAATGATCGGGTGCAGGTATGTTTGTTATGCATATTTGTCGAAGGAATTACTCATTTCTTTTAGGCAAAACATCTCGAATCTCTGCCAGTCGATTTTCGTCTTCTTAATTGTATACTGCGATAAATTTTCAAACACTGACTAGAATCCTCTTCGATAAGATTACGAGTTAGTTTCTTCATCGCCTTCGTTCACAAATAAACACAGTTTAAAATGTTGAAGGCCAAAGTCAACATCCAAGTCCTCAAGGTTGACAGGAGTCTTATAATATCACTTTATTTAAACCTTTTTTCCAAGGTAAAGAGATTTAGAGCTCCGAAATGAGCATTTTCTTTAAAAATTTTGGTCCGTATAGCAAGTTACGGACCAAAAAATTGACCAATCGCATGGCGAAAACAGACTCAGCCATATCGGTTTATTTGCCTTCAAGAATTCTCCTAGTGAACTTGAGCTCTACGTTTAGGTTCCCCACTTTTTGTGCATATACATGTATACAGTCACTGTTAAATCCAAAACTGCTCTACAGGTAGCCTTCAGTGCAAGCGTATTTTGGGTGGGCGAAAGCTTGTTCATGTTCGTATCGTTACGATGAAGCCGCCATCTTTGATTTTATGACAGAGGAAGATTGGGGAGAGTAGAAATAGTAACCCTTAGGGTAGGTGTGAGGGCGAAAGAAGGAGAGGGGGAGGGGGAGGGGAGAAACACTCGAATCAGACGACATTACTCTCCTTCCCGTAAAAAAGCATGCTAGCATCTTGTTCACTACACATGTGTTTGTTATTATTTTATCGGAAGTGAAGGGAGCTTCCGGTGCAATAGTTCTTCGGTTTTGATTGGTCGGCTACTTACTTCCGGAAAAGCGGTCAAGCGCGACTAATTAGGGGGTGTTTCTCATTTTCACAGTGTTTTCGAGCAGGCGTTTTCTCTTCTTTCTCTCCGGCCCCTCCCCCCTCCCCCCTCCCCTTGACTCGCTCCATTTCCTCCGCTCTTCAGGAGTTTCAACATGGCGCTTTCGCGATTAAAACCATTCGCGCGCCCGATGAAAACGCCTGCACTGCAGGCTACTCTTCAGGTAGAAATCCTGCAATCTTTCCCGAATATTACGAACCAATAGACCAATTCCCAGTGGTTTACTGCAAAACGGGATCGAGAGTTGAGGGTCGAGGATCGAGGATCGAGGATCGAGGATCGAGGATCGGTAAAAAGATAATAAATAAATAATTATAAATAAAATAACCGAAGAATGGCAGAAATAAATACAAAAAATTTACCTTCTCATGTTCATTTTCGCGCGTTATCATCCCTACACCTACGAACAGTTTCTAGATTATTGAAAAGGTTTATAAGCAGTGCATGAGTTGAGTTTCACCTGTTTGGGGTTTTACAGTGCTTTGGAAATCTTAAAATTCTTCCTTTTTGGCGATGTAGACTAGAAAATATTCAGATGTTGTGGATGTTGTCAGTGTTGTGGTTGTTGCTCTGGAGACTGTTGTCTCAGGTCGCTAAGAAGAAGCTAGTTCCTCTGGTGATACACATAACTGGCTGAAAAATATATCAGCGGGAAAACCAAGAACACGCACTTCAATGAGCCATCAAAATGGGCAAGGCACGGTCCGTTTGGGAACAAGCGCCTAAGAAGTGTGCTGTGATGGTGATAAAATTACTGTCTTTTTGTTCTGTTTTTTTTTTTTTTGCAAACCCGAAATCAAAGGTCAACGGTCTGCCAGATTATTAGAATGAATGAAGGATCATGCTGTTTAATACAATAACTCATCTTCCTAGTGCAGTGATTCTTCGGTGCATCGAGGTTGTGTAACATCATCTTCGTTTTATGGGCCCCAAGAGTCGTTTGTTATATGTCATAATGTACTTTATAATGTGTAAATACTCAAAACGTAAAAATTGCAAAGGGGTGACAGGCTGTACATCTTCACATCGGCGTGAAACCTTTAACATGTTGCTCTAGAACTCTTTCAGGGATTTTACACTTAAAAAAATTTAACGATGATATAGCTTCTATGTAGCGGACCAAGATACGGCTCGGTGCAGTTTTTGTTCAGCAAAGGAAAATGTGTTAGTTTAGCAGAACCTTATACAACAGACAATTTATTCAGTTCGCGCGTATTCCTGTTGAATTTGTTGTCCGTTTTATAAGATATGACTGCTCAAAATCACGTGAAAGTAATTATGATAATTTTCCATAGTTGCTGTTATCTTAGGTGTCTGCTTTTATTAATATCTCCGTACAGTTGATGTTCACACGATCTCAGAGTACAATGTTTAGAGCTGTACACAGCATGCATTCTTTCAATATCTCCAGATCTGATACTGACACTGGTTTTGGTAGAAGCATTCTTTAAATGCGTTTTGATGCTGTGTCCTTTGAATGTCGGTTTATATCCAATCGCTTTGTAAATGAGACTTGTCACAGTATCACTGGGTTAAAGTGCTTCATTTTCCAGGAAAAATTATTTTTCTAGTCAAAACCATCACTGAATCAGTCAGACTCAGAGTAATTTACTTAAATTTAGTGCTCAGTACAGCGAACGGGGGTTTTGTTTTGTGAAATTTATCCACAGCCTGCGGGCCCACATCACCATGATCCACGATTTATTAATTTGTTTTATTTTCAAGTTTTCTTTTTTTTAACCGATCCCCGATCCCTGATCCTGGTTTTCCACTAAACCATTCCAAGTTGAACTAAGCCTCTGTCTCTAACCCAGAAAATGACCTATTTTTATAATGACCAGCTCCCACTTGGCTTGCTTGCTCAATTTGTTAGAGCGCAGCACCGCTATCGCAGAGGTCAAGAGTTCGAATCCGGTACAAGCCTGAATTTTTTTCAGGCCTTTCTTTCCGCATCTGCATAAGTAATAGACCTTATTCACCATACCCGCCATCTTTGCATGCGCCTTTGGATTGATGGGATATTAGCAATGTCACGGGGTTTCTCAGGGGGCAAACAATGAAAAAAATTTGTCAATACGAGTAACCGCGGTCTAATTTGTTTATTCTATCAAAACGAGACGACAATTTAATAGTCATTCAAAATGTACAGTTCGAGTTTCGACAAGTTTTACGTCTTATTACATTCTGAACGGACAAATGCGGTCGCTACTGCTTTCAAATAAAGTTACAATGAACACTTTCACTAATAACTGGCCATTAGCGTCTTCTTCATTTTCTTTTGTCTAGAATAAACAAACTCGACCGAGATTTGTTGTATTGGCAGATTTTATCACTTATTTGCTCCCTGAGAAACCCCGTGACATTGCTTTTATCCCATCAGTCCTAAAGCGCGTGCAAAGATGGCGGGCATCATGAATAATAGTCTGCTACACAGCCGTTTTTAGTGTCGTCACGCAACGCTCCTCCCCACATGTCAGAATTATACATAAACCTAACTCCTACACTGGAATCACAGAAATTTTAAAAAGATGAAGTTCAAAGAGCAGTTCAAAGACTGCTTCCGTAAGATCGCTGAGATCGAGCGCTTACTGCTGTAACAAGTGACCATCTTCATGGTTTTAAGTGTAAGTATAACTATAACTAGGGAAAGAGTACCAAAGGGAGTACTATCAAAGGTAGCTATAAGCCCCGACTCTATGAAGGAGCGTCGTAAAAATTAATCGGAAAATCTTTGAAAATCTTTAAATAAGAATGACTGAGACCAGGTTTTATGAGCCCGAGAGACTGAGCACCCTACCGGCACCCGAATCCTTGTTTTCACTTAAACCGCTGGACGCCAAAACCTGGTTGAGGTTATTGTTATCTAAGGTCTTCCCAAATTTTTACCTTTACAAATGCTCCCATTGCCTCTGTCGCCAGGCCTGCACGTGCAGTTGTAAGAGCCAGCTGTGTTTGTACAATTCGCATTTTTGTGACAATCATGGCTTCCCTTTTCGCATTCATCGATGTCTGAGTAAGGAAACGAAAGAAACAAGAAATGAATAGAAATTAAGTCTTATTATGACATTTATAAGCAAGCTTTACCTTTACAAATGCTCCCATTGCCTTGATAGCCAGGCCTGCACGTGCAGTTATATGTGCCAGGCATGTTGGTACAGTTCGCATTTACGTCACACTGATGAGTTTTATCCTTGCATTCGTCCAGGTCTAAAAAAAGAAAACAAAACAAAACAAGCCACCAACCTCGTACATCGTATATAAACCTAGACATTCAACGCAAGAAAATAATCAATTTTGTAGCATGCTGATTGTTTCAGGAAGACTGATTGTTTCACTCATTGCGAGGGGAGCAAACATAAATCCCGGGGGGTACCCCCTGTAATAGCTTATACGGGGAAGCTTCGCCCGAATTGCGAAAGGGGTACCTTTTCCAGACTTCAGGTGTATGAAAGGGTTGGGATTTCAATAGTTGAAGTATATGAGAGGGTAGAGAAATCTGTGTCATTTCGGTCTGTAAAAGGACCTAAAAGAGCCAACAGAAGGATTTTATGGCTGTGAAAAAGTCGAGAAAATTTCCTGGGCAGTTTTGTGAATTTATTCACAGTTTAAACACATTACATTTACAGCAGCTAAAAGTAATGGAAAGTTCTAAACTTGGTATTTGAAAGAGGTACCATTTGTCAATGGAAGGTACTGGGTAAGGGAGGGGCACCTTTTCTCTCAAAAAGTATTATATAGGAGGGTAAGGAGCTGGCCCTGAAGGTAACCTGAGATCAGGCCCAATTTTAGCGGTTCTCATACATTCTCTCTAACGGCTACCGCTTTTCGTTTCGCCTTGCCCGCCGGAATGTTACTTTCAAAGCGAAACGAAAGTAGAGCCTGATCTTAGGTTAACCTCAAGGGGGAGCTTTCCAGGATAAAATGTTCCTGCGGAACCCCCTCCCCCGGGGGGCACAGATGTTTTCTAACCCTGACAACGTTGATTATTTCTTAGTAAGTAACGTTCACTTGTCCTCCATTTCTGGGTAGGATACACTTTCGTTTTTCTAACCATCTCGAAGGATCTCGAAGCAACGGGCTACGGTGAGTTTCTAGTTTACTGGCTGGCGATTCAGTGTATGGGAGACGTAGACGTAGACGTATTTCCAGTTTGTTTCTGCCCGAAAAGTATTCTTTGTGGCGCAGTCAAGCGAAAACTGGACTGAATATGTCTGCGTTTGCTGGCCACATAATTACCTGTTTCGCAGAGTTCTCCCGTGTAACCAGACTGGCATTCGCAAAGAAACCCCTTATCCGTATATCCAAGGAAACACTTTGCATTGTTCAAGCAAGGTTTGTAGGCACAAATATTCTAGGGAAAATAAAAGCGTAATTTAGACTTCATGAAATTTTAATATTATATTGTAGACTTCGAGCAGTTCCCTTTTCAGTCTGTGGAATCGAGACTTGGCAGAGCTCGAGAGAACGAACCAGTCGAGAAGGAGGGTCTGAATGGGGTTTAATGTTTGGTGTTATTTGCCATAATTTTGAGTGTTTGCTGTTAAATTAGCCAATTTTATTATGTTTACTGTCTCCGAAGAAATACTGTCAAGTGTTTGGAGGGTTCTTCGGACATCTTCGGCAATGATCGGACCTCTTCTTCGGAAATCTTCGATAGCCTTCGGAAATCTTCTGAAATAATTCGGAATTGTCCTAAAATGGCCAAAAACTCCTTGATATACTAAACAAAATAATATTGGCCTTTTAGGAGCCGTTTTTGCTTCTATCTGGAAAAAAATTACTGTTTCAAAGAATCTTTACTGTTAGTGTTAAAATGCCTAAAATTTATCTATTTCATGTTACAACCCAAAATGAAGTGTTTAGTGTTATCTAGGTACCCCCCCTCCCCCATTCAGACCCTCGAGAAGGGTACTGGAGAGAGGCTTTTCCTTTTCCGTCTTCCCCCTTGCGCGTTTGCCTCGCTCGCTCGCTCACACGTAACATTCTCGCACTCGTGACCATCCTGAGAAACTGCAAGTAGTCAATGCTCCCTATCACCATTCTCATCATTATTTTATGTCTTCTTCATCGCCGCTCGACAGATCTTTGTATAGACTTTGTAAAAGTCCGTTTTGGTTGGTTCCCCCTGTGTGGAGGGAAGACGGACAAGTGCAATCTTCGGGAGAGAACCCAAGACACGAACGGTCACTATAACAGTTAACCGAAACAGGAAACCGCATATGAAAGGTCTCTGACACCCAAGGGTCGTCATCACTATCTTTTGATCGTCCTTGTCATCATCACTTCCATAGCTAAAACTTCAGTTTTTGGGCTATGAGCAGTTAAACGCTTACCACAAGATAATTCACAACCATTGCCGTCATTAATTTATTCCAGTGAAATTCGCCCTACCTGTGTACCTTTATACGTCCAACGTTCTCTTCGTTTTAAATCATTAGGATGCTGTATGTGATCTGAGTTACACAACTCACAGACCCTCATATCATTAATTGCTGGACCAATGTTGATTGCCACGCACTCTCTCCGGTAAAGACATTCCGTTTCGCAAGATTTGCCTGCTCCAATGGAAAGGTTTAAAAAGGTGTGGCCTTGAAGATACATATAAAGGCCATACTCCCGATCAAAAAACTTCAAATACCGAATGTGGCCACAGGTATCTAAAAAAAAATAGCGATGTTAACGTCTATTTTATTTTATTTATTTTATTAGCTTTGCCCTGAAGAATACAGGAAAAAAAAAGACACTGAAGATATGCAAATACTAGTAATAAGAACGTAAGAATACAGTACACTAATAATAACTTAAATATTTGGGCAGGGACACCACAACAGCTAAAGCCAATTACTGCCGACCCAAAAAATAATAGGATATAAAAGTAGCAATTTAAATCAGATGCAGCAGCTAATTTCTTGGTCTAAAAACCTGGCTGTGTTACATTTCAAGCAAATACTTTTGAAGCTCCTTGGAGAGTCCGGGTCATAGTTTATTGCTAGAGCCCAGGAGTAATAACCGTAAAGAACAGATTTAAGTTCTCAAAAGCAACATTATCTAGGTCAAGTCTAGTAATAAGCAGGTTCCAGATTCTAGTGGTTCTAATGAAAAAAGATTTCTGAAAGGTAGAAGTCCTGCATTTGTTAGGCACAAGAGATTGAGAGCTCGTTACGGATATACGGGTCCTTCGCGCGCTTTCGCGCACGAAGGGAACAACAGACGGATCTAAGTGAGTCATATTATGTGTAGCCTTGTAAAAGTATACTAGATCTAGTAACTCGTGCCAGTAGCACACAGGAAGTAGGTTTACAGACATTAGTCTTTATTTGTAAGAGATATTTGTTAAAAAAAGGCAAGCAAAGAATGAATTTGATGGCACGTCTTTCGATACTTTTGAGTTTAGAAATTAGTTCAATGCCTTGGGGCTTCCAGATCTGGGTTGCGTAGCCAAGATGAGCACGAGCTAGCCCGAGGTATAATGCGCGCCTTACGGAAGTACTGTGAATAAACCTAGAGTTCCTCCTAACGAAACCTAACAACTTGTTTGCGCGTGCAGCTTGGTGAGAGACTTGGGGTGCCAAGTAAAGTCACAGTCCAAGGAGACGCCAAGGTCACGCTCTACGTCACAGGACTTGATGGTACTACCGTTAACCTCGTAGCTCGTACAGATGGGCTTGCGCTTCCTCGTAATGGTCTGAAGCATTTCTTATCATTGAAGGCTAGGCCAGAGGCAGCGGACCATGAAGACAGATTATCCAGATCTTGTTGGAGAGCGGCGCCATCATCCTCAGACATCACTACCTTGTATACTTAAGTGTCATCTGCAAACATTGCCACTTTGCTATGAGGATAGAATCTGGATTTTTTTCACATATAACAAGAAGAGAGCAGGTCCGAATATTGAGCCCTGTGGGACTCCAGAGGTGACAGGTAGGTCACGTGTTGTCGCGCCTATTACGGTAACACGTTGGCGCCTGCCACAGAGATACGCGTGAAACCATGTGAGCAGGTTCCCTCCGAAGCCAGTATCCCGCAGTTTTGCCATAAGGAGGTCATGTCTAACCTTATCAAAGGCTTTGGACATGTCTAAATACACACAATCTACTTGACCAGCTCTATCAAGAATAGCACCGATGTAATCTAGGGTCTCTAGTAAATTTGTGACACATGAGCGTCCACTCCGAAACCCGTGCTGACAGTCCGCAATCAGATCTTCTAATCGGTCATTGATGCGGTTCAAGACACAACGTTCGATGACTTTAGAAATAATGCAAAGTAGGGAGATAGGCCTATAGTTTTCAACATGATCTTTTTCATCCTTCTTATAGACAGGCACTACATTGGCCAATTTCCACTCAGACGGTATCTAGCCTTTCCCTAGAGACCTGTTGAACAGCTTGCATAGTGATGGAGCAATAGTAGTGGCGGTTTCCTTTAGGATTCTAGCCGGGATCTCATCTGGACCAGTGGCTTTGTTTGGGTCTAGTGATTTTAGGACAGCCTCAACTTCTCCGATGTGCAGCACAATATCGCTAAAGGGGGGTTCTGCGGCAGGGAATTTCCCTGCGCCGTTATCTACTTTGTCCTCTTGAAGAACAGAGAACACTGAAGTGAAATAGTTATTAAAAATGTCTGCGATTTCTTCTGGGGTGTCAGCGGTTGCACGTAGGTTACCAGTTGCCATGGAGACACTTTGTGGTATGTTATGCGACTTTGAGCGAGTTTTTAATACTGACCAGAGACGTGATTGATCTTGAACTCGATGTTAGCAGACTCAAAGAATTCGTCCCTGCTTTCTTTGATCGTGCGCTTTACTTGTGAACGCAGAGTTTGAAATTTAATTTTTAGTGACTCCGACGGGTGCAATCTTAGTTTCCTGCGTACGGTTTCCTTTTTCTTGATAAGATTGATAACGGCACCAGTGAGCAAGGGCACAGGGTTTCGACCTCTCACTCGCTTGGTTGGAATATTGTCTTTCACCGCAGCAAGAAATAGGTCTTTCCAGGTCTGCCAGCAGCTTTCAAGGTCGCCCTCACCCACCACACTTGTAAGATTAACTGAACGCCGAGCGTCTCAACCACTCAGTCTTTTTTCAATATTCCGCTACTAATTTCACCCACGTTAATTCAGAGAACACGTTAAAAAACATCAATGAATTCTTTCGTTCTCCCACGCTCCTCGACCGTGATTGTTTATAAATGAATAACCGATCCTTTGCAGACTGCTTACTGGACAAAAACATAACACCACCACCAACATCAACAACAAGAACAGGTTACCATGAATGTAAAGCAGCTAAATATTCCACAATGACATTTAAAAACTTTGGAACTAAATTGGAGTATCTGTGAAGTGATCAGAAGCTATCGATCGCCGGAGAGAGAACTGATGTGAGGTACGTTGGAAGCTTTTAGTTATTTTTTTTCTACTTTCAGACTTTTGCCTACCCCAGCGAGTTTTTGAATGAAAAAAGGGATTTTCCCCAAAAAAATTTCGCCAGAAATAACAGCCTGCCATGTCGAAGCCGTTAGACAACCTACAGGAGCTTTCCCACCGACCGAAGTAAATAACAAAACGAAATAACTAATTAATAAGTTTCTTGAAGGATCACTAACTAGGAATTTAAATAAAATACTTCATGACAACCGTCAAACTGTTGTCGCTTAATTTCAGCCTTTCTTTTAGTTTATAATCTTTTATGCAGTGAGTAAACTGTTGCATTTCAAAGGGCAAGCTTTGTCGTCTCCACGGCAACGTCAAATTGATGTAGTTGCACACTCGTTTAATTATTGATTTAAAGTTCCGTATAAGAGAAAGAGCCTATAAGGCCCTTAAGCCATGTCGATCATCCTACCCCTTCTAAAATTCGACACCGAATTTCAAGTGGATTTTTTTAAAAACAGTTTTTAATTTCCAACTGATGTGGTTCTAGAAACACATCCCCCATCGCCCTTGGGCGGGCACAAAAATTGTAGGCTAATCTATGTTGCCGTACATGATCGTTTGTGTCGTAAGCTCAACAACGCAGCTGCATTTTTCTTGTCACTTTTTTCCCTTTCCTAGTTGAATATCAGATATAGATTTTCTTCAAAGTTTGGTAATCGGTTAATTAACGTTTAAGGTTGGCCTCGGTGCAGTCTGGACCCAAAAGAATGTCTGATACTGATTCCAAGTAAGAATTGTAGGGTTTTTTCTTCTGCTACGTGGGAAAGGTTCAGTTGAGTCATTGATTGTCCTCAAAAGAGAAAGGTTTGCGTGAATAACTAGAAGTATGATTCATAAAAGTTCAAACAAAACTTTTCCTGTCATAGCTACGGCCGGTCTGTGTTTTTCTCTCATTAACCTCAGCTTGAGTCATGAACTTTTAAGATATTCGTTGTAGTTGTTCTATTTAAGTTCTCAACAATTCTCTTTCCTTATGGTTGTAACAAATTTAGGGGTATGTGGTCAAACATTTTGAATTAAACGTTAATGCCTTTTAAATAAAAACATAAAAGTCATTTCAAAAAGACTTGTCCAGTGCCGTCAAAACCGTTATCAAGAATTTTGTTCCTGTTATATCGTAATCTAGCCCACTTTGGCTTTTTCTCAAGCTTAGTTTTTGCTTTTAGGGTACCGCATGACATTGTAAGTAGTAGTATACTGTATCCACAACTTCAGCCAAAAATCATGGGACCTGAATCGTTCATTTTGCTTAGCACAGAGTCAGGTGTAGTCCTCTCCCATGTTGAGTTTCAGCTTTTTTTCGAATGGGAGGCAGTGAAGGTTATAAAATATTACACCTAGTGGCAAAACAAAAATGAAGGTGAATGTATAAGGTGTGTGCATATATTAACAGTTGGCTTTAGTCATACCTTGATTTGCACTAGCAATGCAGCTTAGCCAAGCTCCCCAGAAGAGGCACGTCAAGAAGAGTGCTTGAACGGACAAGAAACAACCAGCCATGCCGGATGAATTTGCCAGAATGCTACCCTTCTCGACTTTCGTCTTAATTTAAAACTGAGATGTCACGAACTGGTAGTCCACTGAGTTCAGTTTGACACGTTCTGATATCAGTTGTCGTGTTAATTAATTTTCCAAGTTAACAGCAACAGCCAGCAAAATTAAAACCTGCTCGTTATTTTTGACTTCCCTTCAGTTTCAGTTTTATTTATCAACTCTAATTGCCTTTAATACAGCTAGCCACTATTTGCATTAAATTTCTTAACATCTGCCAAAACGGCCGTGCGTTTTGAAGCTTTCTTGTTAAATATCTCCCGAAAGAACTGAGAATTAAAAAATATTATAAAAAAACAATTATCACGTTTTAAAAGTAGGTTGAGTTTGATCGTCCGGGTGAACGTAGTCCTGAATAGGACTGTTGTCGTTGACAGTGACTGTAAACAACACTGTCAAGTCAATGTCAACAACAATAGGCCTATTCAGGACTACGTTCACCCGGACGATCAAACTCAACCTCCCTTTGAAATGACTCCTGGGTTCAAACCTTTCACAGTTTTATCATGTTTTAGTGTTTGTCATTGCACTTGGATTGTGCGTCTTGTTTAGTTGGAGTTTGAGCAGCATTATAATATGAGCAGAGTCAATTAATTTCAAAGTAACATTTTACCTAACTTCAATTTAGTGGATATTTTTAGTTTGGCATATTTTTAATAATATTTAAGAGCCGAATATCATTGCGATTGAAACTTTATCTTAGCTGCCAATTTTTGTTTTACTGTTTAATACGGATCTTTTGGAATAGAGCCGCTTTTTACTTTGAAACGTTTAGTGAGTTCTCTCCTTCAAAAAAAAGTTTATCGGCGTAATACATGCACTTGTTGGGTGCCTTTTATTAAATTTGAAATAACAAGAATATTACGCAATTCAAGGATCTGCCCTGATCTGATTACATGTACGTATCCTAGTTGCGCGCCCGTCTATATAGGAAAGTACTTACAGTTACAACATGCAGTTAGTATACCAGAAAAAATCTCGATTTGCTTGAACAGGGGCCACGAGGAATTCATGGACGATTACTATACCCTGCGAGCAGAGGCTACATCAATTTTTTTTTTGCAGTTAAAGTTAGTGTGTAGCAGTGCTTGTCGCTCGGCAGCTCACACCGCGAAAATGTAGACGAATACAGAAATTTCCCGAAATTCTGTGCTGAAACTTGACTAGAATACGTGTGAAAAAATTCTCGAAACTCCAAGCTGAGGGTGTTTATATTTGTTTTGATCAACGCTATGTAATGATCAACCTGACTCACTGCATGGAATCTTGCGTTTCCCGCTTTTATTTCACCTATTGTATGTTTTATGTGTGAAAACGTTCAATATGAATCGGTGTATTTCAAAGAGCTTACACAAAGACTAAGACTACAATATGACCGACGAAATACAGAGCGGGGGCAGCTGTAGTGTCAACTATTACTAAACTGTTGTATTCCCCGTTAGGAGGAGTTATTTTAAATTACTAATTTTACTAAAAGAGAATATCTCTTAACTGTTGCATGAATATCGAGATCAAGCTTGATCTTCGCGAAAGACAGCTGTTAACCAAACGTTAATAAATGCTTCAATGCAAACAACTGGCAAGTTTTGTGAACTTACAAATGTCTTGTTCAAATTCAGTCGACAATTAAACAGAACGTTTTAATAAAAGGTTTGTTTGACAAGTTTTAGGGAAGTTTACCATTTAAACTTTCTAGCATATTAACGGCAGTTTTGAGAAAATATATTGAAGCAATTAGCGTATTTTATTTCGGTTTATGACCACCCCTGTTCATTTAGAGACGAAAACTTTTTTCATGCAGAAGGTCCCTTTTATGATAGCTGCCGTAATATTAACGGTTTATGAATAAAACAAGCCCCCTCTTTAAATTATTAAAAATGAAAACTGCGCATAGCAAACAGCTGGCCGTCTCTAAAACGCATGTTAAAAATCGATTTAGTTGAATGTTGGAAAGTATTTAATCTTCTCTTAATTCGTAGATAGTTTACCGAGGTGTATGTCTATTATTTCGTTTTTCCTTCTTTCCTCTGTTTATGGTATTGCGTTTTTGGCCCTATGAAAGAGAACCCTGATTCCGGAATCCAGGAAATTTTTCCTGTGAAATCTGGAATCCTTGGCTTTGGAATCGGGAATACACCTCAAGGAATCCGGAATCCCACGAACGATTAGAATCCAGAATCCAAGTTCCACTGACAAACACGGGTTTTTCATACATTAAAACGGTGATTTTGGAGCGGTTTCTATAATGAGGGAGTAAAGCTGGGTCGCACGATCTTTCCGAAGGTTGATCGTCATATGTCGGATAGGTCTTTGTGCCATTCTTCGTGGTAGTGTAAGCAGGTGTTTAGAGGCAGACCGGAGCGGCATTTTCATGTCAACACGATAAACCGATCCGGTGCAGTGTGATAACAGCGTAAGACTAACACATTTGCCCGCTGTTATGTTCAATTCTCTTTTAGCTTAAAAACAGTAGAGACCTTCAGATTCTACGGCTATAGTCAAATTATACCGAGTTGCTTTTTTCTGGGCCACGTAAATCATACCGAATAGGGCTACTGTTCACCTACTAGAACGATGATTTCGGCGCGATTTCTGTGACGGAGGGAAGCTACGCTGCGCCGATCTCGAAAACGGGTCTTCACAAATCGGATAGGTTTTTAGCCATACTTAAATGTAGCATGACCACCTATCAGGTCTGTCGCGGAAATAACTGAGGAGCGAGAACTGGAACCCAATGAGGCGGAAGTAAATATTCAGGACCGAGGACTGAAATTAAGTGCACCAAATCCATTCGGCCAACTACACCAACACGATGTTCGATGTGTGTGAAAGACTTGTTGCCGTCCCGGACCGTTGCTGTTCATATTATACTGAATAGCTTTTCGTGAACGTTGCCACAGAACTGAGACGACTTCGAACAGACGGAGATTTTCTCAATACTAAGCAGTGACTATTAGGGATCTTTAGCAACGACAACAGCGACGGCAACCTGGACGTCAAAAAAGCAATAGATTTGTAACGCAAAACAACAACTTTGCCCGTGCATCACGCTTTTTTGTTCATTTCTTTACCGTCCTTGCACGACTACCACGTGAAAATGCCTAATTGCAAGTTTTATGGAGGACGTAAACAAGCGACGACGAATCTCTTTTTCTCTCTCTAAACTTGAGTGCGGTCCTCAAGAAATTAACTCCAGGGAAATTCGCCTACACTTGCCATTTTGAGCAAAGTGGAATGAACGCGAATTCATTTTAAAACTGACGTTTTCGCTGCCGTTGCCGTCGTCGATGCTAAAGCTCCCTATTATTTAAAGTAGTGCACGCCCGTGAACCAGAAGCATTTTGGCGGGAAAATGTGATAGCCGTCTTCATTCTTCAGTTTAGCTTGAATAATCGTACTACAGGGAACAGTTATCAAATTTTAGAAGTTTTATCATTGGGCTTGACCTCCTTCAATAAAGACGAAAATGTGCTAATGTTTCTTGTAAAAAAAGAGGTAAAATAAAGCCTTTCCATGATGTCTAGTTTTTGAGAAATACGCGAAAAACCGTTAGTCAAATCTCGTCCTCGAATCTATAAACGGTCTCTAATAAAAGAAATTCCACGGGCCAATGTAACGCAATACGCGTATGCTGCGATTAGTATACCCACCTCGCGCCGCGAGATAAATAAGGCAAGTGGATAAGCAAGGGCAGGAAACTTTTATCTGATTGGCTCCTGGGAAATCGTTCTTGACTAGAACTTGCACATTTGTATGCCCATCACGCATTGCAGACAAGTAAGCTTCACGCGAAATAGGATGAGATTAGCCAGCGCGCCCAACCAAAACTGCCATGCTACGCTGGCTAGGATGAGATGGTCTGATCTCTCTTGGCAGACGTCATTCTTCGCGTGTTCCAATTGGCATGTTTAGCTTCGAATTATTTCCAATGTCAAGAGCTAAGCTAAATTCCGTATTTGACGTTTTATCTTAGTTCCGATAGGAAAAAAGACTTCCAAGGGTTCTTTAGTTATTGTTCTGGGTAAAAACTAAAAGGACCCGCACCTGAGTTGTCGGGGCTCAATAGTCTATACCACTTGAGAGTTTTAAGATACCACGACAGCGACTGCCGCGAAAACGTCAATCTTCTACTAAGTAAATTCGTGTTCTTTCAAACTACGTCGCGATTGTTTCAGCTCGCTCTGTATGTCAAAAGCGGCTCTCTTTAATTGGTTATTGAACTACAACAAAGGATCTTTTTCTTATGAAAATGCGTATGTCTGTTTTTTTTTGTTGTTGTTTTCTGTTTCACTGTCAAACGATGACAGAGTTGAACGTTCACAGGTAAGTTTCAAACAAAACTGTGATCTTGCGTAGGTCATGGCAGCCTCCAACGTAGGCGTTTTTAGGGGAGCTCGTATTTCGCCTACCTGGATTCCGAGGCGGATCAAGAATATAATTAGCGAGGAACTAAAAACACCGAACCAGTTCATAAGCTTTCGCCCTGATCTTTGCCGGATCCTTGTTTATATATCAAAGGCATAAAACTTGTCTCACGTTTTCGTAGAAAGTGAGGGGACGGGAGGAGGCGCTCATTCAAAAGGAGCGCTTGTTTGATTTTTTAGGGGGTGGGGAAGGGCGCTTGTTAGACCGTGAGTGCTTATTCGAGGAAATAGGGTATCTGGTCAAACCATCGACTAAAAAGTTAAAGAGAATTAAACTTATAAGTATAGTCAGTCAGTCAATTACCATGCCGTAAAGCTGGATAGGTATTTTATTAACCGGAGAAAACAGCCGACATGCCAAATTGTTTATCCCTACTTAGATCAAGCCACCGTCAAAAAAATTGACAAATTTTCCTACTTCAAAATATCGCGAAATCGAAAATTAAAAACCAAAATTGAACCTCTAAAACTGTAAAGAGCCTATTTAAATTTTGGTATTTTCTTGAAATGACAGAAAAAAAGTCGTAAAGCTTTGAAAGAAACAAACCTGTACTTGACTGACTAGCGCTTGTCGTAACAAGAACAAAACTTACATAATATATTACTTGTGTGAGATTTACTTCCTTTGCAGCAGCTGTCTACTGCATTATATAAAATGTTTCAATTGGCCAATATTCACAAGGTACCAAAATGATCTTTTGAAAAGTCACATCATTTAATTCCGGTACTGAGAAGGAACAAAGGAATCGAAAAGACTATCAATCCTCAATAAAAGTACAAAAAATGATTATTTCTTGGGAATTCACCATAAGGTTGATCACAAAGCTAAAATATAATTTGCGTTCCAAACATGTTTGCCGTTTTTCGCCGTTTATTAGGTGTTGGAGCTCGACTTTACGGCTGATAGAACATTTTCTGTACATATTTACTTGCAAAAAGGGATTCCTTACAATCATGTTAAGAAAGCAGTTGTTTAAAACCCCAGAAGAGACGAGAAAAATTACGGAGAGAGAAAACACAGATGACTTGGAAGTTCAAGATGAGTCACCGCTTAGGAGAACTCTTGGTATAATTTGTGCCATGTCATCCTGCATCTTTTTTGCGTTTTCCTCCCTCCTTGTCAAACTACTTCGAGAAATTCCTCCCCAGGAAGTCGTTTTCTTCCGCAATATGGTTCAAGTTATCTTTGTCCTTCCCCCGTTAATCTACAACAAGATTCCAGTTGTTGGCAACACGAAGCATCTTCCATTTTTGTGCGTTCGTGGAATCGCCGGAACTCTTGCTCTTTGCTGCCAGTTCTACGCTTTCCAGCACATGGCCCTCGCAGATGCGACTGTTATCGTGTTTTCAGCTCCTATATTCACGGGAGTTCTGGCACATTTTCTTCTTGGTGAAGCTTGGGGATGGTTCGATGCAGTGGCGACTTTACTCTGTTTTACCGGCGTTGTCCTCATAGCAAGACCGACGTTCTTGTTTCCTCGGCCGATTGAGTCCACGACTCTTGCAAGTGATTGGGAACAGGTAATTAAGACCATAATTTTAGTTCATATTAGTGTTATTTGTTGACCCTTTTATTTCCACATAGAAATAAATAAAGAAAAAATGTTCGAAATTTCATTTCAGTGCAAAATACTGCATGGTAACAGATTGACCTCGCAAAAGTAACTCTCGAGATGAATACGCGCTCATTTCACCATGTATAGTCAAACTTCTGAGACGTTTTATGTTTTAAAAAATGACTTTATTCATAGTTGTAACATAATTACTGGTAACCCATTAGTTTACATTGTGGCCCACAAATGAGGAGAGAAACAAATAATCGAACTGAAAATAAAATTTAAGAATCTCAACTGGCCGGGGGCAAACCAATCGGTTATATTAAAGAGGGTCTAAGTGGGATTTACCGTCAGCCGTCAAACGGCCTAAAATTGAACAGTGTGTCAAAAATGCAAAGTGATTTTAACCGTCAAAACCCTTCAGGGTATTTGAAAACCATTCCAATATTCTATTTCCCATGTAGGTCACTGCTAGCCTGGTTGCCCTCCTTGGTGCCATATTGACCTCCATTGCTCTTATCGCCATAAGAAAGCTGAAGGGGGTCAACTTTTTGGTGCCCGTATTCTTTGTTGGACTTTCCAGTGTGGTCCTCACAATGGGAGCTATTCTTGCATCAGGATCTTTCCAGAGTGTCGTATGCGGGCACTCACATGAATGGTTCCTTTTGGCACTTGGCTTCTGTGGTCTTGGTGAGTGATTTTTCGTCTATATCCACAAGTAAAACCATGTTCAGCTAAGCGTTAATACAGTGATGTCGTTAACCCCCCCCCCCCCCGTGATTGTTTGCGGTGGAACTTATCCATGGGGGGGATACTTGACCAATATCTGGGTACAGGTGAGCCGCTGAGGGTTTGAGACTCTGACCCTGTGTAGGACAAAAAAAAATCCTAAAATACATACTTTGTTTGGGATAACACCCTCAGTTTTATTACCCTGTTAAGGACAAGGAGTGAATGCACACTTTGTTTTAAAACCATTGCGTTTGTATACTTGGAGTACAAACAAATTCCATCCAGCAAATCAAATCGATCGCGTAGGCAATACCCTGTTTATGATAACGGACAGACTTGTGCGAAATTATGTACCCTGTTTAGAACACAGGTGAAATATGAGGGAGTACCCCTGGAACTGATAATCAAAAACCTCCCATTTATATTATCACAGGTGGCCAGGCCCTTCTTACGAGATCGGTGCAACTGGAGAGAGCAGGCGTGGTTGCTCTTGTGCGAACGTTAGACATCGCCTTGGCCTTCATTCTGCAGCTGCTCTTTTTGGATTATACCGCTAACGTTTACAGCATCGTGGGCGCAGCGCTGGTTTTGGGGTGCAATATATTGGTGATTTTAAACCGAGCCGGGCTCACCCCGAATAAGGCCACTAAGAACCAGGGAGGCCTGCCAGAGGAATTGAAAAGTCTTATTGGAACAGTAAAGGGTCAGTTATATGGCAGGAATAATTGAGGAGTCGCAACCTCCAAGGGGAAAACAATCTGCAAGTGAAGTGAACTTTTTCTTGTATTTTAGTAGCCTGTGTAGCAGGCGCCGGTTATTAATTATTTTACAGGCCGCTCGAGGAAAACACGCAAAGGGGAGAGGAGGCTTCCTCTCCTCGCCCTTAAAATACCGGCACCTAGTATTTTAGAGTTTAGTCTTATAGTGAAATGGAGCTGCAGGTATGTTCTTTTTGGATAAGCGCGTTCTCCTTCGCAGAGACCTTTTTGTACCTTAGGGAGGCTGGGGAGAGAGAAAAAGAAAGCGCCCGGGGACGATGGGAAGGGGAGGAAATAAAAAAGAGGTACCCGCCGAGGCACCAGTCCTTTCCTCTTCCCATCATCCCCCGCACGCTTATCTTTTTTTTAATTCTTTTTTTATTTGGATCCCAGCGATGGCCTATTTGAATAAGAGAGGGACAAGCGAATGCTTTGCGCCCGGGGTACCCCCGTATAAAAGGGAGAAGGATGCTTTTCGTAAAGCTTTCAATGTATGTATGGCTGGCTAAATTTGTGTTTTATGCGGGGAAGAGGTACCAGTTTATGATCACAAGATGTTCAAAACTAGCAGTAAAGAAAATAAATATGGATTACTTTGACTTCGAGTTATATGTGTCCTTGTTTCTTTTTGCATTGGCTTACTGGCGTCACCTAAATCTCTTCAAATGTTGAGTGTGCGCTTCCAAACAAATTCTTTAATATGAGTAAACAAACTAGGGAAACTACTCCCACGCTAGTGCCGCCCGTCTGCAGTTCTCTTTGCATCCATTGCGGACCTTTTGCGGACCCATTAATTGCGTGCACATCCCTGTCCGCGAAAACCTGGTGCTAGTCGGTTGTGGACGCCTTGCGAGTTTCGCAAACAAACATGGATCCCTTTCAAGCCAGGGACAAGACGTGGCTGGGAGTGGAGGCTCTTTTACGCGATTTACTGAACCTTATCGATGATCGCGACTCTGCAGATGTCTTATTTCTTGTTGGACAAGACGAGGTTGCAGTATATGCCCACAGACTGATGTTGGTAGCTCGCTGTAAGCATTTTCGTAATCGCCAAAGAGAGCTATGGTCCTCGAAGTCAGTTCATTCGCAACTGACAGTGAGAAAACCCGATTTCAGACCTGATGTTTTCCGTGAAGTGCTCACGTTTGTTTACACTGGAAAGGTAACTCTGCCGTAATCTAGTTTTTGAAAGCTAACTGTGGATTCAATGTGTTTGTTTTTCGGCAGATTATACTGCTTTCTTTTAAGTATATTGTACAAGTTTAATATAAGTACTGCTTGCTTTGTAGATAGTTTAAAATTTGTCTGCTTCCACAATTAAAAGGGAAAAACCTGGACACCTGGGCATTGGGCATTGGGCCGGGTTGTTTAAAGCAGAGTTCAGATAAACCAGTGTCAAATTTGAACTCAGATATGAAAGCCAAAGGCAAATTCATTTTAATTCTTTTTGTCTATAATTTAATGATTAGGTTATCGTTAATTCGCCTGTACCCTGAAATATTTCAGGAATGTTTATAGTGTTGTGGCCAATGGCAACAAAGTTCAGGACACGCCTTTTCTTTGGTTACCAGGTTGAGCTTCATAGCCGTACAGCTTTCGAGATGCTAAGGATTGCTGAGGACCTGGAAATAACTGACCTACAGTTAGCTTGTGAACAGTATTTCATGGACAATCTAAGTGTAGACAATGCAGCAGAATTTTTGGCAGATGCCCTGTCTCTCGCAAAAGGTGCCGTAGCGGGGGGCATGTCTTCTCTAGTGAACAAGTGTATTGGATTCATGGAAGAGAATGCTGAGGATGTGATACATACTGAAGGGTTTCTCCAACTTCCAAAGGCAGCAATGATTAGACTTGTGTCTAGTGATCAGGTATAAATAGATAAACTACTTGATAAGATTGTATACTCCTCTGAACTAATTAGAAAATGTTCCTCTCGTCTCTATTTTTTACGTCAACTCAAGAGATCCGGAGTGGCACCAAGTGAGCTGGTGCAATTCTATGTGACATGCATTAGGCCCGTCCTGGAATACGCAAGTCCTGTATTCCATCGTTCTCTACCAAACTACATCAGTGAAGATTTGGAACGGATCCAAAGAAGGGCTTTCAGAATCATCTATCCTGACCTGTCATATAGTGTAGCACTAGAAACAGTTGGCCTACCGAAACTTCATGAGAGGAGAGAAAAGATTTCAATCAATCTGTTTGACGAGATAGTCTGTAACCCCACCCACAGTCTCCATAGCCTCCTCCCCCAAAGGAAGAGTTGTAAATATGCTCTGAGACGCAAAAGTGATTTCACTCTCCCCCTATGTAAAACCGCGTGTTTGAAGAAAAGTTCTATTTTTAGCCATGTCTATAAGATGTAGATAATTTTTCTTATTTTCTCTTTGTTATCATCAGTATTTGTAAATATCCCGTAATTCAGCCTATGGCTGCAATGGTGTTTATAATAAAGTATCTATCTATCAAATGATCATCTGTGCCTCTCTATGGGTACCTGTGGGCGTCGATTTTGTCCCTCTTTCAGAATAAGACCTCCATTATTGGATTACAAATTTCAATTTACCATTGGTTGCATCTAACTGTGGACATGAGACAAAAAAACATGTTCTAATAGGTGCCAAACATGACGTGTTGTGCAGTCAAACATTTGAAGTTTGACAGCCATTTTAACGGCTGCTTTAAAAAGCAAACTGTCACGCCAAAGGTAAGTTGTTTACCGCTATATGTTTTTGATTGGTGCATTCTGCTCATATTTCATTTTTCAGAACTCTCAGGCATATTTCTGACTCAGAAAAATCACAATTTCCTTCTTAACATCTAAAAATTCTTGCAAAGAATAAATTATTTTGTTGAGTGAAAACAAATCAAGTCAACAACTGCCGCGTACTCTAAACTTCGAATGTTTGGTGGCAAAACATGCATGTGTGCACCCAACTGGAACATATTTTTTCCTCACATGTACATGCTTAGATGCAACCGACAGTAGACTATTTTGATTGTGGAACTTTGACCTGATAGTTTGATGTGAGTCTTCTTTATTTTTAACCACACAGTTTGCAGTCTCAGAGGAGGAGCTTTGGCGTGCTGTCCTATCATGGGCAAAAAGAAGTTCAGGTGTAAGCAAACCAACCAATCAGTGGACAGAAAAGGACAATGATAAGATAAGAGAGGTAAGGTGTAACAAACATGTAAGAAATGATGATATTTAGCTAATCTAATGCTAATAGCTTCCATTGACAGCTTTTATATTTTTATTAAAAAAATTGTTCCTTGTCGTCACTATATAATTTAGCTGTTGACAGGTATATTTTACTTTGATTTGAATCATGTCTGGACATAAAAATAGCAGATGTTAGAAATGTGTTCTTGCTAGTGACTAGTATGGTGAAATATTGGTGATTGGTGACTAATAAATATCATAAACTTATACCAGTTGCTCAGTCATTGAGGTATAGCACATCACCCCTTAAGGTCAAAATATATTTTTCTTGTATTCATTCCTCTTAAGACTCTGTCTGGAGTGATTGAACACATCAAGTTACTGTTGATTGACAGTTCTGTTTATGCCGAGGAGGTGGAACCTACAGGTGTTGTTCCAATGGAAGTGTCATTGGAGAGGTAATTATTCCCAAGTCGTGATTGCATCTTTATTGTTTTACCCCCACTTAGCCGAGCACAGACCTATCTAGTGGGAAGGGCATGAATGGGACTCATGGGTACCATGTAAGGTGCCCTGCCCACCCTACCCAAGGTTTATCATTGCCAGAGATTATACTAAGTCCCTAATAGTTCCTTTTATATCCCACTAGTTTCAGGTCATTGAAAGAGTCAATGCAACGTCCAATGAAATCATCCAGATCACACCTTGTGTTGATAGAAATTTTGTGTCAAAAAATAATGAATTTTTTTTTTCCTTTTTTAGGTATCGATTTGCAGCAGTCCCCGGTCACTTCAAGAGAGCTGAAGATCCTCGTTTGAGGCCCAGAGCATCTCACAAGTTGTTTCATAACACAAGTCTCTTGTCCAAGGATCGTCTGAAGTTTCAAACTGTGTTGAATGTTTGGTTTGGGAATGAGCAGCAGGAATGGCAGCTGCTTTATAGAGCTTCAAAAGATGGATTCTCAGCCGCATCATTTCATACGAAGTGTGACGGCCATTCACCAACCCTAACTGTTGTTTTAGTAAGTAAAATCTGGAGGGCACCCATTGTGGAAACTAATCGGCCTGCGAGCAAGCTCTTCAGGGTGCTCTGGCAGCAGGGTGGGAAAAGGAAGAAGAGCTTGCAACTATGTCTCTGGAATTTAAATATCTGGATTAAAAAAGTTGATGCAAAAATAATTAATGTTGATTGGCAGAGATGACACAAGTAATGATGTCATTACCCATAGCACTACATTACGTTGTTTACATTCGTGCTTGTTTCTGCTTCGCACTGATTGGCAGAACTCTGACAGCTCAGTTGATGGGAAGCCACTGGGGAATTGGAGGTGGAATTCAAATTCCAGAGACATAGTTACAAGCTGTCCTTCCTTTTCCTGTCCTGCCCCCAGAGTGCCCCAGAGAGGTCTCTCGCAGGCTATGTTCTTACTGATTTCTATGTCATTTTTTTGCTATAAATATATATCCTTATACCTTTCACTACTAGAAACTGGTGGTAAACATCAGGAATATGTATAATATACAGGGTGTCCCCAAAATTTTTCCTTCTTGTTTCATGCACTATAACTTTTGTACTCCTGACATGTTTTTTGATTTTCTTGATGATCAACTGTTATCAGGGTACAAATGGGAATTTGTGTGGAGGATTCAGTGACCAACCATGGCGCAGTGATATTCCACGTGGAACTTACATGCCTTCTAATAGGTAGGAAAAAATTAGTATCTTCAATCTTGTGCATGTTTGTTATCATCATCATCATCATCACTATTATTTTTTGGAATTAATTTCTGTTATTATTTTTACGCAGCTCTCCTTTAAATGAGTATTGCAGCAAGCATTGTATATAATGCTATGAGTAATCCAGCATATGGACATGCATTACATCCGTGTAGGGTGTGGGAATACACCTCCAATGTTTTGTAAACTGATTAAGACTTTTAAAACGTCTAGACTGAGGCTAGTTTCAGCTAATGAGCACGTTTACGTACAACCAAAAGACAAATGAAGTATATGCAGACAGTGAAAATGCATGCTACTCTGAAGAAACTGTTGAATTTAATGTTACGATTGATTAGGATGACAACCATAATCAATAATGTTGATGATTGTAAAGAAGATTATTACAACAAGGATGATAATGATGATGGCAGTTGTGATGATGATGATGATGTTGATGGTGGTATTGGTGCTGATAAGGATGACGATGCCGGCAAAACAATAACAATAACCAATCCCCACCTGCTTCTGCTTCTAAGAATGGTGGTGTTCTTAGTATTTCATCTTATATTTTTATAGGTGTTTCCTGTTTACATTAGTCAACTCTGAAGGTGTCCCTCCAAGCAAGTTTGATTTAGTGAACCCAAAGTATGCCACCCTTCATCATCCAAGGTTTGTTGTCAGGGAGATTATATGAAACAAAAATGTACAATAAATCGTAATTGAGTTTTAATTCCATACACCAACTGGTCACTTAATGTGCTATATATCCCATATCAACACAGGACTAAATTGTAAACAAGCGTTTCTAACTTTTGCTTCTGTGGATAAAGTCAACTGGTTAGAATACCAACTCTTTGTTAGCTCAGGGCTGTATCTAAAGAAAAATAAGGCAGTTCGCAGTCCGGAAAAGATTACTAGAGTAATACCTCTTAATCCTCCTTCACAGTCGTAACTGCTGCTTGTATACGGAATATGAGAATGGATAGTACTTTGGTGTTACTTTTCCTATAAAACCTCATCAATCCAGGGGTCAATTTAATAAAACTTATACAAGTGTAATTTACAATAGTGTAGATATTGTTTTTAAACTCTAAAAAAAATGGCTATACTTGTAAATAATACACTTGTAAAAGTTTTTTTTCAAATTGACCTCAGTGTATTGCATGCTAGTTTAGCATCTTGGAAATTAAATTTTGAGACATTTGATTTTGAGAGCTGGTAAAGAACTACAGGTATGTGTGCTGGTTTCTCCATTGTAGGTATGGTCCCATGTTTGGTGCTGGTGCTGATCTGTGTATAAGTGATGAGTGCAATGAGAGGCCTGAGTCCTACTCTAATTTGCCTCACTCCTATGATGGACCCCAGGCCTCTACGAGCATTCTCATGGGAGACTACAATTTTACAGTAGAGGACTATGAAGTATTTGGTCTGAAAAAAGAATCGTTATATGAGAGAGTATAACAGACTGAAACGACAATCACTGTAAATAGCTTGATTATATGTTTTGGAGAAACTGCCCACCTACCACTCCCCTAAGCCAACATTAACACTTACTTCTCACTTAGGGCAAAATGTTAGCTTAGGGGAGGGGTAGGTGAGCAGTTTCCCAAAAACGTATAATGATCCTTGAGCTCCCGTTGGTGTTACTGGGTACTAACATTTTGAGTTTCTGGCACAGGATTGATAATTTTTTTTTAAAAAAGTTAGTTTTTGTTTTCTAAGAAAACGGACATGTTTACTTTGAGACTTCTCTATTACCATATTTGCATTTGTGGTTAAGTTAGATTTTGAAATATATCCTACAAAGTTGGGAAAAATAAACCAGAGAGAAGTCAAGAAAAGAATAACTTTCAATCTCTGTACTGTCTGTAATTATTATTAAAGATTGATAACTTGGGCTTTTATTGTAAGTGTACTGTGTGTCTGGGTTTATGGGTACTGAAGGTCATTGAAGAGTTTCCAAAACCCTCGCCCTCAGAACGAGACCAAGTTCGAAACCTTTCACATCATATTATGGCAAGGTGTTTCCTTTTCATTCATGTTCATGACAAATGGAAATTATTTTCAGAACACTTACTTTGCCTTGGCCCTGTACGGCGCCTTTCCAGGCCTTCTTGGTCAATGCATGTCGGACCAAGTGACCCGGGACGCATAGGCCGCGCGGAATAATAAGACCTAGGGACTAGTCAAGCAGTTACCCTCGTTTTCAAAGAGAGGCTTGGTGCAACTCAGAAACAGCTTATTGCTATCAGGCCAGGGCTGGCCGGCAAAGTTTAACCATATCTCGGTAGTAGAAATCCACTGTACTAAAACCCTTTTTTCAACGGATAGTTTTCTCACTCATGTTATATTTAAACCGGTTAATGAACAATTTCACAAGAGTGTGGAACGCGGCCGTGCAAAGTTAATGTCGCTTTATAGGCGCTGGTGATTTATGCACAGTATGAATCTTACCCGGTTAGAAGAGATCAATACCCTGGTTAAGCATTCCGCCGTACGCAAGAAAAACCCTCTGGTTACCCATCATAGGAGACCAATAGACTTTCAAAAAATTTACTAATAATGAGATATTTCAACTGATTATGTTGTCGCGTTTGAGTACATGTACATTGCTTTTTTCAGCGACCTTATCCACTTGATAATGATATTATTTTCCCCGTCGCCCTCTCTTTCGCGAAAAAAAAAAAACAAAGAAAAATAGAAAAAATAGCCTGCGTAGCAGGAGTTGAAAGGTGAAGGGAATTGGGAGGAAGGAAAATAGGCAGGGGCCTTTGTCTTTTCCCCTGTATTTCCCTTTCGCCCCCTCCCCCTTTCCCTCCTCTTCCCTTTTTGAGCCTGCCACGCAGGCTACGAAAAAAGTGAATAGGTTGTTTGCTCGAACATCGGAAAAAGTTGTATAATAATCCACGTAATTACGCTACTGCAAAGCAGTTCCTTTGACAGGCCCGTAGCAGGGGAAGGGGCAGGGGGGGCTCAAGCCCCCCCAGAAATTTTCATACTTTAATTAAATTCCGCTACAAAAGAGGAATTTTTCTACTAAAATGGACAGCTGTCAATGGAAGCTAAAGTTTCAAAGTATTGTCGATCATATTAAGATTATGCACTGTTGTTCTTCTGTGCAATTTGGAATTGTGTAAATGAACGAAATCGTATTTTTGCTCTGCCAAAAACAATTAACGGCTTTAAAATATCTGCTTATTAAGCATCAAAATAGTCAGAAGCAAAATGGATCGAAATGCACCAATGACAATCCCACCTGAACGACCTCATGATGTTGCATGTTCACAGGGACAGAACAGAATGATGCTCTGACCCTTGTAGATGTAGCTAATGACTACGTTGGGGAGAAAGAAAACCGAAAGCAATTGTTTGGCAAATTTTCCGTGAATGATATCCCAAACAAGTTCTCTGTTTCGTCAAAGTCAACACAAACGGAAAATTAGAGACAAGAACAAAAGGTATTGTGGACAAATGTAGTGATCTGACATGTACCAAGAAGTATGCTTTAACGGAGGGAGCGAAGGGGGGGGAGTTAATGTGGGCCACTCGCTCAGCCCCCCATTTTATGCTTGCTACGGGCCTGATTTGAAGAACATTTTATGTCCAATAAATAAGTTGTAGAGAAACAACGTTTATATTCACGAAAAAAGAACGTTGTGCTCTGGGATTATTCTCAAGAAAAAATTCAAATCTTTTCTTTGTCATTTTGAAAAAATCGGGTAGGTCGAGCAATGAGAACGGACCTTACGGCCTTCAGGAGCCTTGCTTGATGGGCTCCTGGGCCTTACAATAATTGCTTTAATTGTAATTACCGCTGCGACGATCGATCATATCTTTGATTTGAATTTGTATTTCCACATAAACTTCATTCTAAGCTGAAATAAGTGAACTTTTCTCCCTCAACAACGTTAGCAAGGTAATACAGGGGGCGCAGCGTGAGATTTTGAAGGTGTGCGCACGCGGGGAAGAACTCGAGTTGTGGTAGCGCCGAAGGCGGACCTATCTAGGAGGTTGTTGGGGCATGCCCCCCGGAAAATTTTTAAATTTAGGGCCTTGGAAATGCCATTCCAGCCTTTTCCGCAGGACGTTTTCAGCAAATTAATACGCAGGAAAATGCAGAAGTTAGTTGTCTATTTTTACCCATCTCTAGCTAGTGTTGTCGGTAAAGTACAGTGTTTACGCATGTGACGCCAACAGAATCATAGAATAATAAAATCATAAGAGAAATACTACCACAAACACACCAATATAGTGCGGAAAATGTATCAGTCATCCCAATCGATTTGATGATAAAAAAATTCTTTCTCAGGAAATAATTTTTCCCATAATTTAGCTGTACATCCGGGTACGCACGGGCGTATATGGACGCTACGGTCTTGGAAGTTTCCGAAGGGCCCTCATTTTCAAAACTGAATTTATCCGTCAGTCATTTATCCTTCTTGAGCGTATGGAATAATTTAATGATCAGTGATTTTAACTTAAAAATTCTGGGAAGAAAAATAAGAAAAGGAAAATGGAAGAAAAAGAGAGAAAAAATGGGAAGACCGTCCGTGAAAAACTGGGCTTCAGTGTACCCATAATTCTTAGAAGCAATAACTGGGCTGCCTTCCGCCATCTTGGACATACAAATACAGATCACAAGACGAAGTTGTGAAGATTTCACCGTTGTTTTACTGTGCTTTCCACCATGTTGTTGCGTCAGGCGTGTAGTACATTAAGGATGGGTTTAGTTCGCAGATCAATGGCTACTGCTGGTCGGCGGCCAGATACGCCTCAAAGGATGGTGAGTCTGTATGTTTAACATAGCACTTTTCCATTCCTGTGAATATTAGCCTTATCCTTGTTTATTTTCACTGGTTAATTAAGCTTTAACTGTTGAATTTACTATTGGATTTTCTTTTCTTCGTTTGTTTTTTTTCTTTGTTTTATTTTTCTGGTACTGTGCTTTCAGTTTAGAAAAAAATAAAGGTTAGGTGCTGCGATTTACTCACAGAGTCAAATATGTATCGATCTAGACCATTCCAGCACAGGTTTACCATCTGCCTTAATTGAAATATTGATTTAATCTATTTACTACACCTTGCTTGGTCATAAATAGATGCCCTGCAATATGCAGTCCTTCGAAGTTGTTTATTTATTTTGCTTGTGGGTATGGTAAAACCTATATTTGGAAAATTTTCACGCAAAAGTGGAGATACGATGATAACGTTGAATTTAACCTGCATTAAACTTTTGGTTATCCACAAATACAAGACTGTTATAGACTTTTTTCACTGTAGGAAAGTTGAGGGCTGACTCAGAAATTAGGGGGCAAATTTGTAAGGGTGTAATTCACTAGCGGGCAAACTCACTGATATTCTTAGAATTGGGTTATAGTTCTGAAAGTTAAACTTTGATATGTTTCTTCCTCAGACACCTCTTCACCAAGCTGTTGCTTTCACAGCCATTTTCTGTGGAGTCCTTGGGCCCGGAGTTTTGCTCATGTTGACACGCGAGAAACCTATCAGCGAACATTGATGTGATGCCAAGGAATAGTTAGCACGTTGTGATGATGCCATTGATTGTGGGAAGAAAATGTTATGGTCTTATGTGTTATTGACTGTTATTAAAATGTAAAGCTGTTTCCACAAAAGAAGAAGCTGTTAAGAAATCATTTTGTATAAATTTTGCAGTTCCTTGTTATTTGTCTCACCTTTTCTTATTATGAAACCTCATTTTTGCCTGCACAATAGGTTGATTTAGCCACAGAATGGGAACGTCAGTTGACGACGGCACACACAAATTAAACAACTGGCTTGACCAATGGCAGAGCGGCAAATTGGGCACCGGAAGTCATGTTTAGTCCTTTCCGTGCGCTTTCCCGTCGTCAACTAATGTTCCCGTCCTGATGCTAAATCAGCCTATTGTAACAATAGAGTTTAAGCCTGACACCCATCAGACCTTTGCTAGTGTTTTCAATGTACTTGTGATTACAAAAGTGTCTTATAAAGGTTCTTATTACCGGTACTTAAATTAAGGAAAGTAAAGGATTAGGTCCTATATTTTCAGGGATATCACTAAGGAAAAGCTAAGCAGGCTAATTATCACAAACTATCACAATACAGTCAATATCCAGCCACTGCTTATTCTTTTGGGACCCAAGTATAATGTCCATAGAAGCAGGTAACCATAATAGTGGGGTGGGAAAAGAAAGGAAGAAATGATCGTTTATTATGGCGACAGTGAAACCTCCACTAATGCCACCTCTCTACGATGGCCATTTTTTTCTGCGGACAGTCCATACATTCACTCTTGTTTCAACCTCTCTACTACAGCCACTTTTATGGGGGACGGTCCATACATTCACTCTTGTTTCAACCTCTCTACAAAGGCCACTCTTTTGGCGGACGGTCCATACATTGACTCTTGTTTCAACCTCTCTACAATGGCTACCTCTCTTCAACGGCCACTTAACTTTTTTGGCGGACAGTCCATACATTCACTCTTGTTGCAACCTCCCTACAACGGCCACCTCTCTACAAAGCCACTTTCATCTGCCCCCAAAGTGGCCGTTGTAGAGAGGTTCAACTGTATTAAATATTAATTTAAAGATGCCCTTCATTAGCCATCAAGAAGAGATAAGTTGAAATGACGAAATTGTTATGTCTGGGCCAAAAAGGTGTCAGTAAGTCTATAGTAGTGAGAGGGTTTGTACTTCCAGTTGGGCATATGTAATTTGTAATGTGAATTCAGCTAATGTGAATGTTAATGTAGTTATCTTCTTATTCACCCTCCTCAAGGCTTTTTAGGGTTAGCTCTGTTGGGAGGGCACTGGTCTGCCAAGTGGGAGATCGTGGGTTCAAACCCCAGATGAACCAACTACCAGGGACTTTAAAAAACTAGTGAGATCATGCTGGCATTGATTTGAGACCTTGTCTCGGTAAAAATGATTGTGTCATTGGGCAGTGCTGTTAAGCCGTTGGCCTTCTCTCCTTCCTCCTTTCATTAGTCAAAATTGAAGGGGACATAAGAGATCCCACACTACTGTTCGAAAAGAGTAGGGAAAGTTTCCCTGGTGGTATGGTCTACCTTTCACGCATCAGTCTTTTCATGAGCTATGGGTGGGTTACAGTAAGCTTATAAAATAAATGGACTTATAGCGACTGGTAGTGGTCCCTTGTATGCTGAAGTCCAAGCTTACTGTTAATGTGTTAATATGTGAAGAGAGTGCATCTTGTTGTCCTCTAATCCACAACATTACATTACATTGCATTACAATAAATGTATTAACAACACTGGTTGGGTGGACTTGGCAGACTGCTTGTAGTTCAGTTTACATTATTTTAATAAGTCTATAATTTCTGTGACTTCAAAATGGAATTGATTTTTTCCAGCTTGTTTTGCAAAGACATTCTCTTTTGCCAAGTTCTACTAGATTATGTTATGAGCAAGCTTATAGCATAAACCATACCTGTTTAATACTAAAAATGAAAGTTTCCTAAATAATGAAAGCAAACTGAATGTTCTTCTGTCCCAGTTAAGCAACCTGTGGGTCTTAGTGAGCATGGCTCAGATCTCTAGTTGGTGCCATAAGATCAAGAAAAGGAGATACCAAAAGTGACATAACAGCTGACACTTGAATTTAAATATCAGTGAAATCTTTGAATATGTTCTACTCAGTCCAACTAACTTACCATATTAATTTGACTAAGTACCCACCTTAATTAACTGGCCACCTTTAATAGCACCCAGCCTTGAACCCCAACCCCCCCATTAACATATAAAATTAACAAATAAAAAAGACCTTCTGATATTATGAGATTGAAACTGACTACAGGTAGGGATTCCCCCAAAGACTGACTTTTCTTAGTATTTTTAACAAACTTTCAATGAGCAGTTAAAATTTTGCTTAGCCTGCGAAAACAGCCATTTCTCATCATCAGTCTGGAATTTCTGTTGTTGAGTCGCAGATGTTCCCCCTTGCAAAATGTCGCCAGCGGCAAGGAGCAAGGAGACTAGGGGGGGGGACTTTAGGAATTTCTGGGTAGCGATGTGCCGCTGGGACCATGGAACCCTTAACCTATACCAGAGCTAGTTCAGCTGAATTTTGCTACCCTATACTAGAGTAAACTCCCCCAAATCCCCCCTATCCTAGAGTAGCTGTTTTCCAGAAACTACTGAGGTCACTAGCACAGTCTAGCCAAAACAAAACCTTATACCACAATCCCTAGTCTAGATAAAATTTTCAACCAACTGATCAGTTTCCTAAAAAATGATAGCCTATTCTAGACCCAAACGCTCTGATTTATATACCCTACCCTAGAGTAAACTGCTTGAAAACCATAACCTTTGCAGCAGCACATACCTATGTAGCCCAAATATGGCAGTACCACCACCCCGGCAAGGAGAAACAGCTGTTTTCGCAGGCTAGATTTTCCTTTGTTTTCATTATTATTATTATTATTAAAAACATCATAAGTGCCCAGCCTCAAATAAGCGCCCACTTTCAAAACGCCGAGGGCCCTGTTGTTTAAAGGCCCATTAGCACTAACCTCGGATTAAATTTTAATCTCGGTTTCTTTTCTTTTATTCAAAGGCATTTTCTCAGAGAATTTTCTCTATTCCTTTGAGAGCATCCAATCATAAAATTGAAGATAAAAGGAATGAAAATGAATTTGCAGCCTCTTTAGAGCTTATATTTCTGAATTCAAAATGTGTATTAAATTATCTTAACCCATAGGCAAATAAATACGGTTTTCCCCCACCTACCATACCCCTGTCAAAAATCGTAGTATCCCGTGATCTCTTGCGTTCGTGCCTCGTTCCCGCTCACTGGCGGTAAAAGGAAATTAAAAAGATGGCGGCTTCTGTGCTCGATGGTGAAAAACTTTGTGAGGTGTCAGGTAATGTTAGATGGTCCAGTATGGCACAAGCTCCAATGAGCATTCAAAGTGGATCGTTAGCTGTTTATAAGCTCAGTGATAGTTTTTACATTCATGCAAGAACGACAGCAAAAAGAGGAAAGGTAAGACGATGCATCTCGGCTATTTCTCAGCGTATCTCTGTGTAGCCTTAACTTAAGCGTACCAACTCATTTACGAGGATTCTTATGTCGTTGACGCGAACCATTGGCGTACAGTAAAACCTTCTTAGTAAGAACACCAAAGGGATGGAGCCAAATTTTCGCTTTAATAAGATTTCCGTATGATAGAACTAATATTACTTTTTGAAGTTTGGCATCTCTACTGGGACTAATCAAAAGAGCTTTCCCCTAATTATAAGCTTAATTAGCTACAGTTAAGAGGAGATTCGACTGTGCATTTTGTTAGAACATTATGTTCTTGAAGGCGTAATTTCATTCTGAACTTTGTGTTTGAAAACATTGGACAATCTGGACAATGTATCTCTATGAATGCAAAGCATACGCATTGCATTCTAATCAAATTTGCCAACACAGAATACCGTAACTTAACCTTTCCTCATTTAGTTTATGCTCTTACAAGGATATAAGTAAATTACATTTTAGGCTTGTAATAGATTGAGATAACGGATCATTATACATTTTGGGTCATGTAGCAGCTGCTCGTAAGAGAAGTCACCAATAGTGCCTAACCCTGACCCCAAACAATACTAAAATAATTGAGAGAATGACCTGTCATTGTTTACTGTGACCAATTAGAAAAGACCTCACAAGCAGCTCCTGCATTACTCTACATTTCTGTGAAACTACCTACCTACCCCTCCCCAAATATATAATGTGGGGAAACTACCCACCTACCCCTCCCCTTAGCCAACATTAACACTTACTTTTCACTTAGGGCAAAAATGTTGCCTGAGGGGAGGGGTATGTGGGCAGTTTCCCAGAAACGTATGATGATCCAAGATAACAAGGAACAGGCAAATGTAGACAGGAGGTCTGTATTTGATCTGTATAATACATTTATTCTTTAGGTAATAAAAAAGCCAAATCCAACGATATTCAAAACATTCTTACATGTACCTCAATCAATGTTCCTGTTTCTTGACAAATTCAAGATATAAAGGGGTATTTTGTCTAGCGGATATTCTTCAAAATTAGGATCAGTTGTCATCTATCAAGTTGTATTCTTACTTCTGGTACAGCTGAGGGAACGTAACCTTGTTCACAGGGTTTCTGGTTGCTGTCCCCTTTTCGGTGTTATTTATTCTGTACTATCGATGCCATCCAAATTTGGTCAACACCAGCTAGTTATGAAGGAATGTCAGTCATTTCGCTAACAGTTCGTTTTGCCAACACTGAGGTTGATTATCCCACATGATCTTAAGATCTGAGATGGGTTCTGTGATTTATTTTGCTATTTGCTCAGCCGATTAACTTGCGTGAACAGATCCATGATCAAGTTACCGGTAGTATTACACAAATTGTTGCGTGAATTGCTTTTAAGGTTTAAATTAAACGTTTAGGTTTTTGAATGAAATATTTCAAGAAACAACATCTCTGCTTACTGATTATTTACAACCTGTTTACACTCCAAGTCTACTATGAAGAAGGTCACCGAGGTGGCATTTGTTGAAGTGACAACTTTGAGAAGTCATGTGATTGTCCAAAGGATAATATTTAAAATTAGTTTAAACATGCAAGAGTCATCGGTAATCTTTACTTCTATTTAATTTTTATACAAAACTACTACTTGTATAAACTTAGTGTTGCTGAAACAACTTTAACATGTCCTCATGAGATATATTGATCACTCCACCCTTCCCCTCGAGGACGAGAAAAGAGGATCTGTCTGAATCACTTCCTAAGCCTTAGAAGTCGCTACAGCCTGAATTTCTGGACTAGTCGATCTTGTTTTCTTTTGTCAAACTGATTTCTTAAGTGCAAGCATCTGTCTATTGATAAAACCATGGTCATAACTGATCCCGCTTTACCAATGCAATTAGCAGGGGATGCTCAACAAAGATCTTACTCAATTCGTGCAATCTCTCTGAAATACACCAAAATTGAAGAAGCGAAAGAAAGACTCTGCTAGCAGGCTGTGATCAATCCAGCACAGCAAATGAAACTATTTGAATGCTACAGTATTTAATATGATTTTTACAGTCCCTTTGGCACTTCATTTCATTAGTGTTACTAGAGAATGACTGCTTATATAACAATCAAACAAGTGGTTTGTTTTTTTTTTGTCTTTCATGTCAGTTCCTTTTGAAAGCCAACAAATTTGGTGTGGTCACCCGTGATTCCAAATTAACTTTGTCATTAGATACAGACAGCAAAGCTTCAGTGTCCATAAACTTGAAAGACGCAAATCCAAGTCAGCTGAGGGTGTTTCTAGATTCTCTGAATGGCATTATGGCCTATCACTCTTCATTGAAAGGTAAGATACATTAAATTCAGTCCCCGTGTAAAGATAATGTAAATAATTGTGTGCATTTTGAACTGCCATAGTGATGATATTGGCCACCTTTAATGCGCCAATCACCATTTTATCTGGTGACTTTATAGCCAATAACATAACGGCTTAACTGAAAGATAACCAATAAAATTTTGAATGACCGGAGTTTAATACCATTAACTGATATTGTGCAACTCACTTTGACTCTGAAGATGACCACCGCACAGGTTGTTGAAATTTCAGCCACTTTCAATTATAACAGTCCCATTTAGGACTACGCTCACCCGGACAATCATATTCCACCTGTTTATGAATGAATCCTGGGCAAAACCTTTCAATATAATGACAACACTTGGCAGTCACTGACAGTGACTGTGCTCTGACTGTTAAACTTGAAATAAAAAAAAACAAAAAAAAAAACAAGCATTTAAATATGAAATTTGTTTACCTCTGTGATGATATCCACAGGCAAGTTATCTTCGTCCTCATCTAAAGAAAATAAAATACATGATGTTGAGGTGAGTGATACATGTAGCATTCTTAACTAACCGATTATTGTGCTTGTCTTCTTGCATGTGCATGCAAGCCCAGAGCACAGTGTACATAGCATACATGCCATACTTTGTAATCTTTTTTTTAGGCAGCACTCTAGTATTTCCAAAACCAAATGAAAATTTAGAATAATTATGTATGGCAGTGCACTGTTCATCTGAAGTCTGCTGCTGGATATCCCCCTTTTTCATGTTTTTTCACAGACTGGTAACTGTTGGCAACAGTTACCAGCGCCGAACAAACGACCAGAGTATAATACCATCAACTGACGTGATACAACTCACTTTGACTCTGAAGATGACTACCGCACAGGTTGTCGAAACGTCAGTCACTGTCAACAACAACAGTCCTATTCAGGACTACGTTCACCCGGACGATCAAACTCAACCTACTTTTGAAATGACTCCTGGGTTCAAAACTTTCACAATAAAATAAATATTAACGTGCAGTTTGGTGGTCGATTGGTTCAGACACCCCCCATTAAAAAATCCTGGATCCGCCCCATGAAGCTATAATCATACATGTATGTGAACTATACATGTATGATATTCTTAATTTTTTAGACATCTTTTTGCTTTTAGAACCAGCCATGTAATACCTTGAACTCCAGTGGCTCAGCTCCAGGAGTTTTAACTCACAAATTACCTCCAAGAAGCAAGCCTGTGTCCTCTTCACCATGCAGTCCACAGAAGTAAGTTTGTTACAACATTAATTTTGGTTCTCACCTTTTTAGAGGGAAAATCCACTTTTTTTTATTCCAAAAAGCAAGAATTTTGCTGAATATGTCCGGTGTAGGACTATGAAAAAGCTAGTGAAGTCCCCATGGTTTTTGCAATAGGTATCCCTGTTCTCTTGTAATCCTCCTGACTCCACCTTTTGGGATATGAGATTTGTAATTAGTCTCTCCTATAATCTACCATGAAATCCACTTATGTAACCCAGTTGGATTGTTTTTAAACAAATATACACTCAAATAATCAACACCACTGTAGAGCAAAGTGGTGCACATGATACAGGTCAAAATTAAATTCAGGTTAAAAGTTTTTAACCTAGGTTGATTCTAAATAAATTATTTCCTTTGTCTCCCAGCCCTAATTCATGAATAACCTGAATTTAATTTTGCCCTATAACACCCTTGCAGCAAATCATAATGTAACTTGCTGCAAGGAAGAGATGAAAAAACATATTTTATGTAGAAGATGGTAAACAAGGGGGTCAAACCGCTGAAATATGAAGAAGACAGTGGTTTGAGATTTGAAGTAACTTTTCCCTCTCTATAAAATGAGCAGAATCTATTTTAGGGTAAAATACAATACAATAACTATATTACCTCTCCCGAGGGGGCTATTCTGAGATAATTTACAAAGGAATATTAATTAATTACATCATCACTCTGCTGAGGGATGGAAAGAAATACAGTGAGAATTGGGTGGGAAACCTTGTTGAAATTGAACTTGCAGCCTTTTAAAAATGGGCTTATTGAGAGAGTGCACGTAGTTAACACTTGATTGGCATGTACCAAGTACAAATTTGCAAGAGAAAGGGGACCCCATTGCGACAGGATACTCAACCGGCCTTGGATTTCTAGCAATAAGAGTGGGTTTACGCTGGCTGAGGAGCAAATGAAGCAGAAAATGTTTTTCTCAAACTCAACTGGGAGTATGGGTTTGAGTGTATGGAGGGTGCTGTGGGTCACATAGTGTTTCAGAGTTCTTTTGTTTTTGTTGCCATCCACCATTGCCTATCCTGCCCCGCCCACCCACCCTTCATGTGTTTTTGGGGTAGCTCTGGTTGTTATTGTGTCTAGTCTAAGTTTCTTGTCTGCCATTTTTAGCTCCTTTGTGCTGTAATACTAGTGATTTATGGTGTTGACATTTGTAGTGTGAGAACCGTAATATTTTATTCTGAAAATAATGCCTGTTACATCTTGGGTAATGTAAGGTGCCTCCATAAAATTAACTCTTTTCTGTTTCATTTTTTAGCAGGATGACACCAAACAGACCATCCAACTACTTTGCAAAACAAATGAATCCACCTTCTTCCTCTTACAATTCTCAGAATAAAAAAACACCATTCTTTGATCAAACAAGAGTAAGAGGTTAGTGATGAAAATTGAATAGTAACTTTAGTAATCTGCACATGATACATGTAGATAGAGATATAGAGTCGGAAATTAACTTTTCTCTATGGGCACCATCTGGCGACTAGATAAAAATTTTTGGTCACCAGATAGCAAAAATTAGTTGGCAAAAATCTCTTCCTTGCCAATAACCCATGAAAAACAACAAAATTAATGTTTTGGACATTTTCAGCTCATTTTCCTTAACTGTTATCCTTAGCTAATTATTATTTTACAAAGAAGCTACCTTGTTGACAGGGTGACATTTGAAATTGTGGTCGTCAGCTCTCAATTTATAGGTGCATTGGTGTCCAGCTAGTCACAATTTCAGACCCTGAGTGTATTATAGAAAGATGGTTTATTAAAAGGCTGTACATACATTGGTTTCATGACTCCCAGTAATTCAAAGCCATTGACTCTACAATGTACCTAATTAATAATTCAGCCACTGGCTTCTTTTGCTTACAAATATGTCCTTAGACCAGTGCTTGTTTATCCCTATGTCATTTCCCTTACTCAGGGTTCTCATTAAGTGGCGGCAGGCAGCTAAAAAATCGGCTACTTGGAGGTCTGAGCCATCTACTTTTTGGGGAAATAGGCTAAAATGAGAGAGTGATAGCTTGAAATTACCTACAGCACTCAGTTACCAAACCACCTACTTTTCATATCCTAGCTGCCTACTTTAAAAATTAATAAGAACCTTGCTTACTGTATGTGAATAAAGAAAATTAAAGCATTGGAGGCTCATGAACAATTCTCCTTAAATGGTTTGGCAACATCCACAAGCCAAACACGCTTGTTCAAAATTGAAATATTAAAAAAACAAGCATTTAAATATTAAATTTGTTTACCTCTGTGATGATATCCACAGGCAAGTTATCTTCGTCTTCGTCTAAAGAAAATAACATACAAGATATTGAGGTGAGTGATACATGTAGAATTCTTAACTAACCAATTATTGTGCTCTTGTCTTCGTACCTGTGCATTCAAGCCTGGAGCACAGTGTACACAGCATACATGCTGTACTTTGTATCCTTTATTTTAGGCACCACTCTAGTGTTTCCAAAACCAAATCAAAATTTAAAATAATTATGTACAGCAGTGCACTGTTGATCTGAAATATGCTGCTGGATATCCCTCTTTTTCATGTTTTTTTTTTTCACAGACTCAACTTATTTACGATGTTTATCATGATTCGATTTTTCATCTGAAAGCATTGCTCCACCATTTCAGATTTAAACCACACTCAACTGACAGTCCCTTGACCTTTAAAATGTTTGATATTGTACGTTGTAGAGGCTTGGTACAATGTAATCTATTTTACAATAGAAGGTGATAAGTCAACTTATCTAGCTTTCTTTTGAACAGCATGTTTCAAAATAATAATTATTATTGTTTTGTAAATCAGGCTTTGCATTGTCTGTGATGCAGAAAAGCATTGTCAAACAAAGTACATAAACATTTTGCTTAGTTGGCCTTTCATACCTGTGGCTTGAAGCAGGGGCGGATCAAAGTGGGGTGGATTGGGTGGCTAGCCACCCCCCTTTTGGACAGCCCACCAAAAAAAATTTATACATGGAAAAACAAACAGAAATATGTAGGTCCCAAAAAAATATAGAAAAACATGCATTCGCCTTTCATATAAATGCAGAACCATTGATAGAAGTGTGGTTTGTGAGAAATTTGTGATGCTGAATGATGGCATCTTCACTTTTCGCCCACTACATGTAAGTTATTTTTTCTATTTTGTGGCTTTTCAAGAGTTTGCAGCAATACAGTCTCCAATTCATCCTTTCTAAATCACCATGTTTTGGGACAAACGTTGGACAACATAAAATAAATTAATGCGTAGTTTGGTGGCCGATTGGTATCAGACACCCCCCCCATTAAAAAATCCTGGATCCGCCCATGAAGCTATAATCATACATGTATGTGAACTATACATGTATGATATTCTTAATTTTTTAGACATCTTTTTGCTTTTAGAACCAGCCATGTAATACCTTGAACTCCAGTAGCTCAGCTCCCGCAGTTTTAACTCACGAATTACCTCCAAGAAGCAAGCTTGTGTCCTCCTCACCGCCCAGTCCGCGGAAGTAAGTTTATTACAACATTAATTTTTGTTGTCACCTTTTTAGGGGGAAAATCCGTTTTTTTTAATCCAAAAAGTAAGAATTTTGCTGAATATGTCCCGTGTAGGACTATGAAAGAGCTAGTGAAGTGCCCATGGTTTTTGTAATAGGTATTCCTGTTCTCTTGTAATCTTCCTGACTCCACCTTTTGAGATATGAGATTTGTAATTAGTCTCCTATACCCTGTCATGAAATCCACTTTATGTAACTCCGTTGGATTGTTTTTAAACAAATATATACTCAAATATTCAACACCACTATAGAGCAAAGTAGTGCACATGTTACAGGTCAAAATTAATTTCAGGTTAAAACTTTTTAACCTAGGTTGATTCTCAATAAATTATTTCCTTTGTCTCCCAGCCCTAATTCATGAATAACCTGAATTTAATTTTGCCCCGTAACACCCTTGCAGCAAATCATAATGTCACTGGTTTGTTGCCTTGCTGCAAGGAAGAGAAAAAAAAATTTTCTTGTCGAAGATGGTAAACAGGAGGTTAAAACTGCTAAATGAAGATGACAGCGGTTTGAGATTTGAAGTAAGTTTTCCCTCTCTATAAGATGAGCAGAATCTGTTTCATGGTATAATACAACACAGTAACTATATTACCTCACCTGAGGGGGCTATTCTGAGATAATTTACAAAGAAATATTAGTTAAATTTTACATCATCACCCTGCTGAGGGAGGGAAAGAAATACAGTGAGTATTGGGTGGGAAACCTTGCTGGAACTGAACTTGCAGCCTTTTAAAAGTGGGCTTATTGAGAGAGTGCACATAGTTAACAGGTGCACTTGATTGGCATGCGCCAAGTACAAATTTGCGAGAGAAAGCAGACCCCATTGTGACAGGAGACTCAACTAGCCTTGGATTTCTAGCAATAAGCATGGGTTTACACTGACTGAGGAGCAAATGAAGCAGAAAATGTTTTTCTTACACTCAGCTGGGAGTATGGGTTTGAGTGTATGGAAGGGCTTTGGGTCACATGTTGTTTCAGAGTTCTTTTGTTTTTTTTTTTTGCCATCCACCATTGCCTATCCTGTGCAGCCCACCCACCCTTCATGAGTTTTTTGGGCAGCTGTGGTTGTTATTGTATATAGTCTCAGTTTCTTGACAGCCATTTTTATAGCTCCTTTGTGCTGTAATACCAGTGATTTATGGTGTTGATATTTGTAGTGTGAGAACCATAATTTTATTCTAAAAAAACAATACCCATTACATCTTGGGTAATGTAAGGTTCCTCCATAACATTATTTTTTTCTGTTTTGTTTTTTAGCAGGATGACACCAAACAGACCATCCAACTACTTTGCAAAACAAATGAATCCACCTTCTTCTTCTTACAATTCTCAGAATAAAAAAACACCATTCTTTGATCAGACAAGAGCAAGAGGTTAGTGCTGAAAATTGAATAATAATAATAATAATAATAATAATAATAATCTGCACATGATACATGTCTACTAGATAGAGATATAGAGTTGGAAATTAAATTTTTTCTATGGGGCACCATCTGACAACTAGATAAAAATGTTTGGTCACCAGATAGCAAAAATTAGGTGGCAAAAATCTCTTCCTTGCCTTTAATACATGAAAAACAACGAATGTTTTGGACATTTTCAGCTCATTTTCATTAACTGTTATCCTTAGCTAATTATTTACAAAGAAGCTACCATGTTGACTGGGTGGCATTTGAAATCCTGGTTGTCAGCTGTTGATGTTTAGTTGCATTGGTGTCCAGCTAGTCACAATTTCGGACCCTGAGTATATTACAGGAAGATGGTTTATTAAAAGGCTGTACATACATTGTTCATTTGTCAGTAATGTAAAAAGGCAATGAGTTGTCTAAGGAGGTTGAAAGTGGAACTTGCCAGTAACTTTCTGTTGGTTGCTCTTTAATTATTATCAGTTTTTATTGTACATGTAGATAACCTTAGCAACACGTCTAGTAGTGGCAAATCTGCATCATCATTCTATGGTCGTAATTCTGGTAATTCTGGCTTGTTTTCCTTTGAAAGGTTAGTATTGTTTATTTTATTTCTCTTGAAAATATATCTTGGTAGGAGGAAATTGATGTCAGTCACTCTTGGAAATTTAAGGGTCAAGTGTCTTTTTGCCGGCACAACAAGCATTGTGCAATGCAGGATTTGTTTGTTGTGATATAATTAGTGTTCCTTGTTAATGTAAGAGACACAAAGCCGTCCATATTTTCTGTGGAAAATTATGGTATTGTGTTTTGTGTCATGAAACTAGAAAAAGAATTAATGTTGCTCAAACTATTGGAGAAACATACAGGAAAACAGAACATTGCTGAAAAAAGGAATGGAATTTTTTATTTATACTGAAAGGCAGTAGTGCTCATAATTTATTGGAAAATATGGCATGTATCAGTATATAAATACCTATGTAGGTAGGATCCTAGGCAGGACAGTCAAGAACCTCGGTGGGGCAGTCAGGTGCCTGTGTGGGACAGCATGAAGCCTGTGTGGGACAGTGGAGAGCCTGAGTGGGGCAGTAGGGAGCCTGGATGGAGAAGTTGGATAGTGGGAAGCCTGTGTGGGACAGCCCTGGGTGGAGAAGTTGGAAGCCTGTGTGGGACAGTGGGGAGCTTGGGTGGGGCAGTGGGGAGCCTGGATGGAGAAGTTGAATAGTGGGAAGCCTGTGTGGGACAGCCCTGGGTGGAGAAGTTGGAAGCCTGTGTGGGACAGTGGGGAGCTTGGGTGGGGCAGTGGGGAGCCTGGATGGAGAAGTTGAATAGTGGGAAGCCTGTGTGGGACAGCCCTGGGTGGAGAAGTTGGAAGCCTGTGTGGGACAGTGGGGAGCCTGCATGGGACAGTAAGAAGCCTGGGTAGAGAAGGTGGAAGCCTAGTTGGGACAGTCTCTGGTTGCTGGGTGGGACAGTGGGGAGCCTTGGTAGGGCAGTCAAAGGCCTGTGTGGAACAGTTGGGAGCCTGGATGGGGTAGTGGGGAGCTGCGTTGGACAATGGAGAGCCTGGTTGGGGCAGTAGATGACCTGTGTAGAACAGTTGGGAGCCTTGGGAAGACATTGTTGATCTTGTGTGGTATAGTCAGGATCCTGAGTGTGGCTGTTGGGATCCCAGATGGGACAGGTGGTGTGATTTGCCAGGAAATACCAACCATCTCCCTTACCACACATTATGATTCATTGTAATGTTTTTATTTTATTATTTTTTTCAACCGCAGGAAAAGTTCAGGTACCTTGGGTCCAGGCTTGATGCCTCCACCTCGTTTGTCAAGTGCAATTACCTTCAGGTCTCGTGATAAGCGACCTTTTGAAAAGGAAGTCACCTTAACAGGGTAAAGAATGAATTTATTTCTACTTGTAATAATTATTATTATAGATGTAGAAAATCAACACTGTCTTTTTAAGCAGTGGACATAAGGCTTTTAGAAACCAGGGCAGTTGCATTATAGTAATAAAGTTGTAGATTTCATATTGTTCTCATTTTTGTAATAATATTATTTTTATTATATTTTCTGTGTACAAGTTTTTCAATCCTACTTTCATGTTTTTCAAATATGTGTACACTAGTTTGCTTCCTATCCATAATTCCCCTCAAAGGGTTATTTGGCTTAAACCCCTTAACCCTTGACAAATTTTGGCCATTTAAGAATGTTAACTCCCATACCCACAATGCTTCTTTCCCCATTGGAGGTTAAATTTATCTGCTTTTGATATAGAGAGGTTTGAGACATTCACATTTAACGACCTTTAACGACCAGAGAGAAATGCAAAGAAAAAAAACATGATAATTTGAACACTTTCTACCTGTACTTCCTTCAAATTATTTTAATGTCATAATCCTCATTGTTCCTTGGAAACTTTTCCAACTGAAATATATGGTAGAAGAGAAGCAAGAAATTGCAAGGAGAAAAGTCTTAACTTTGTCCCATCACCAAAGCAGGCATTCTTTCTGTGGGGTGATTTGACTGTGGAATTGATCTAGACAACATTAAGAAAGTGATAAAGTTTCTGATAATGTTTTGTGTCAAGTGAATAAAAAAGCAAATAATAAATTTGTTTTATTCTTTTAAGTTTTTCTAATTTGGGGAACACTTGCTACATGAATGCCATTCTACAATCTCTTTTGGGTGTCCCACCATTTGTTCAAGATCTTTCAAACAAAGCTTTGTTAGATCGAGTTCATCCACATTGTCTCTACCGGTGAGTACAGATTCTACGCCTATGAATTTAACTTTCTCATGCTAGGTGAAAAAAAAATATTATTACAGGGTTCACATGCACCTTGAATGTCCTTGCATTTTAAAATAGAAATTTAAAGCCTTGAAAGTCCGTGAAAATTGCAGTTAGTGCTGGAAAGTCCTTGCATTTCAATGCTAACTGTATAGTTTAAGTAGAACTCTGAAGGAAAAGAAGCAAGCACAGAAAGACCCTCAGGATAAAATTACTCATGTTGTAGAAGAACTAAAAAAGACATAGACTCAAGGCTCTTTTTTGCACTGAATGGAGTCCTCAAAAAATGGGAAATGTGTTCTTGAAAGGCCTTGAAAAGTCCTTGAATTTTTTGTTCAAAAAGGATACGAACCCTGTAATTATTATTATGTCAAGTTTAATTTTATTAAAAATGTAAGTTTGAATTCCTAGTCATATACTAGCTTAAGCATTGTCAGCATTGTCAAGCTTGTCTTTGACATTTTGAAGAACAAACCTGATGGGTATTCATTCATTATTCATGACCACCTACCCCTCCCCTAAGTCAACATAAACACTTACTTCTCACTTATGATCACCCACCAGAGATGAAAGGCCTGGTTTACTTTCTTTTTTTCTCTGTATGGGGAGAATAGAAAAACATATATTATTTTTACCACTTGTGATTGTAAGTGTTCAGTTTTAAGGAGGCACTGTAAATCATAATTTTTGATGATTAAAAAACAGAAAGTGAAGAAGACAATCAGAAGAATTAGAACATCATAATTCAAAAACACTCCTACAGGATTTACTTCAAATCTTGTCAAGGCAAGGACAATGGTCTAAACTACAGTGTATTAGCAACGTAAAGGATTTTAACAGATTATAGCTAGATTTCGAGAAAATTCCCAATTAATTTTGTAGATTTCATGTCATCATTATTCTGTTGCTATGGAAGTGGCAATGTCAACAAAGCATACTCTAAAATTAAGTCCAATGTCAGAAATGTTGTTTCACTGTGTGGCTTTTTTGTACATGCATTAAAGCCAAAGTTATGAAGCATCAAACACGAAAGGGGTGAGACCTTGAAGAATGGGTGCAAGCTTCCTTAATGATTTCATTCCATCATGCTCCCAGATGTCTGTATAATGTGATGATGTGCAAAAGGAGAAGTGGAAATGCAGAATCACTGAAAAATAGCTTGAGAAAACTAAAGCGAACCATCTCAGAAGCAGCAACACGTTTCTCAGGATATCATCAGCATGTAAGAGAACCTCAAGTTCCTTATGCCATCATCCTTCTTGTCCTCCTGTTGTATGTGTTGAAGGTCAAAATTAAATTCAGGATAAAATTTTTCAACCTGCATGTAGGTTGGCTCACAATTTCCTTTTACTCCTAGCCTTGATTATTCATTAATTAGGGTTAGGAGACAAAGGTAATGAAGAATTAGCCTAGGCTAAAAAATTTTAACCTGAATTTAATTTTGACCTGAAACGTAATTATGTACTACATATATGTTACAGGTCAAATTTATTTTTAGGTTATTTTTGTTTTAACCTAGTTTGTTTTTTAATGAATAAACTAAACTCATGGTTTGGATTCAATCTGCCATTTTTGTGTCAGAGGGACTGCAAGAAGAGAAAAATGTGGTTTCATTTATGCATGAGCAGATTATTATGTGTAGCCAAACACAGATGGCTTTGCGCTTAAGACCATTATTTGTAGGCATTTATTTGCAGATCACGTGGTGGGATCTCGGCAAATGAAGAGGAAGAAAAATTTGCATCAAATGATAATTAAATTTAGTGGTGCATGTCATTTCTCAAGGTAAAACCAGACAACCAGGGTGAAAGAGTTAAATTATGAAGAAGACAGCATTTTACAAATAATAGTTCCTGCAAATAATTGTCATGTAAACTTTAATTTAGAAATTTCAAGAACATTTTATTAATACTATGACTTGGCACATGACCATTGAATACAGGTGATCAAGTTGCTAGGTACTTCTGCTGCAATGTTAGTGTTGTCAAAAAGTTTTTCTACTCACCTTATCATGGTGTCTAAAACAGTTGCAATAATAAGGCTTGATGGATTTTTTTGTTTAGGATGCCCATGAGTTCTTATGCCAAGTTTTTGATCAACTGAGAGATGATGTATACACCTGCAATTCCCCGTCATCTAAAGCCACATCTAAAGAAGGCAGTGGCATGGTAAATACCTTTTATTATTGTCTGTAATGTAAAATAATATTTTGGTATTCCCCTTTTGTACATCTCTCAAATTGACCTTGTTTGCCCACCCCAAAAAAAACAAAATAAATAAATAAATAAATAACACTTTCACATTAGTATTGTCCTCATTATTATTTCTCCTGGGGCAACTACAACATCCAGGAGAAATTGTAAAAAAAGGTTATGCAAAATTTTGGGGGGCAAACAAGATGCATTATGGTAGACGTGCAAATGGCAAATGTGGGTTTTGTGTTTTATATAATATGACAATGGGTGCCCCTGTCTCATGAAGCCCAAATGACCTTAACTTAACCTGGCTTCTTGGGTTCTGCAGCATAAAACAGCTACAACCATTGTCAAAAGTGTTGGGAAGGTTGCCTTTTTTACCTCCTCTTTTCCTTCCTCCCCCTGCCCCTGGCCCAATGTTGATCAAAACGTTTATGTTTGTATGCGTAATACTGTTCTGTTATATCCCAACATTGAATAGGGGGGATGAGGGATATTTAGTAAAAGAGAAAACTCTCTTTTTTCAGGATTAAAATGGACTACTGTTAACTTGTACAACCTTCCCAACTACTTTTGTCTGTGATTGTAGGAGTATTCCTACCTCCTCCCCCCTTGATGCTATGCTAGTCCATCTTAGGGTTTCATATACTTATGAACAGTATTTTCAGTGATGTACTTCAAATAGTAATAGCCCGTGCATTCATATACCTGCCAACTCTCACGCCTTAGGCGTGAGTCTCACGCCTGCGGGTTGAAAACTTCGATCTCACGCCGGCTCACGCTTGCGGGCCAATTTCTCACGCCTGATTGAAAAATGTGAGTTGTTGCCGTCTTGCTTGACACAATTTCCAAAAATATGTTAACTCAGACCCATGTAAGGAACGAAAACCATGTGTAAAATGAATAAATGACAATACCTTCCTCGCGATCTCTGATTTTTGAAGTGAAAAGCACCGGGAGCGAGCTCGCGTTTATACGCATCCTAAGACTGGGATTCGATAACTTCGCCTTCGGCAGACTTCGGACGTCTTCGGAAAACTTCGGACGTCTTCGGAAGTCTTCGGACTACTTCGGAAATGATCGTGTTGTATTCAAAAATCCCAGCACTCCCAGGATAAAAATCTCATGCTTATATCTCAGAAAAAGTTGGCAGGTATACATTCACTCTGTGTCACCTGAAGAGTTATTACATTAACTAGGACTTCTAATAAATTTTCTTTAGGTGGCAGACACACAGTGTCCTGTAACAAGGTCATTTGAAAGTGCTGTCCTTCATACAGTTAGCTGTAAACAGTAAGTACAAAAACCGGGGACTTCATGTGCTTCCATACGTGTAGAGACCTTCAGCTGTTGTAGTTTTTTGGTTTCTCTTCTTATCTCATGCGTTTGAGACCATTGTTTTTTATAACTTTTATAATTAAATAATTATGATTTCAGTTTAAGAAATATTTGTAATTATCATAGCCAATTTATAATCTTATTAGTTAAATTTTGAATTTTATACTTCAATTTTTGCCATAATTCTACCCGTGGGCTATATATAAAATTAGCTGCATGGCTAAGCATAATAAATTGTCGTCAATAATTGTCCTATGCCCTACTACTGATTTGTAGCTGTGTGTTTTTGTTGAATTTGTTATGCATGTTTTTTTTAACAGACATAAAATTCTTTTCCTACCAACAGTAGATGTGCAGAAAGTTTAACAGGGTCTTTAGAACTCATACAAAATCATCTTCAATCAATACAGGGCTTGTAAAATTCTTTAATGACAGCTTATCCTCTAGATAAGCAGCTCTTCAATTTGGCTTGTGAAGTTCCATGCTAAGACTTACTTCACAAGTTTATGTTGCATTCAGAGTGTAGCATTTTCTCTGCACTCTTATCTATTGGACAAGTAAGCATAAAACATTTCTTGCCTAACAGGAAGGCTTTGCCAAGGCAAGCCTTCCCCGATAAAAGAGAATAACCTGGCACCTTTGCTTTCAAAATTGGATGGCAAGTCAATGACCACTGCCTTTGACAAAAGAAGCAGAGTGGGTTCTGTTTTCGCTGTTAGTAATTCAAGAATTTTACATTATCCCATGACAATTTTCCAACAAAATAATCTTTATTCTATTGTGATATGTTTTATCATCGTAGATGTGGGGAGTCAGCCCTAAAAGAAGAAATATATCATGCATTTTCCCTTGATATTCCAACTTTGTAAGTAAACAGTGTATATGAAATTAGCTTGATTGTTTTGATTTTACATGTAACCAGGCTTTTATTACACGATGTGCATCACAATGCTACTCTAAAAGTCACTTTCCCACCTTTCATGCTAAATCATCACTTGTGCCTTTATTGATCTGGGACCCTCATTATAAACAAAAGAAAAGACCTAAACAGAAGTTTTGACTTTTTCAAAACACATAGACATACCGTCTTTAGCCATCCTGTTAGTCGCCTGGGTAGGGTAGGGTAGGTAACATTTGCCAGGGTAGTGTAGGGTAGGGTAGTGTAGGGTAGGGTAGGTAACATTTGCCAGGGTAGTGTTGGTAGGGTAGTGTAAGGTAGGGTAGGTAACATTTTCCAGGGTAGGGTAGTGTAGGGTAGGGTAGGTAACATTTGCCAGGGTAGTGTTGGTTAAGTAGGGTAGGGTATGGTGGGTAACATTTGCCAGGGTGGGGTAAAATAAGGTCAACTAGTGTCAGATCAGTGAAGTTGGTTAACCCTTTAACTGGCAAATTTTGGGGGGAAATTTTATCACTGCAGCTATGTTGTGAAAAAATGCTGACAGCTTCTATACTATAACAGCTAGGGCCATTAACTATATATCAAAATGTTCATCATCGAATGCTCCTCTAACCACAGCAAAAAAATGTGAAACAAGTTTTATTTTGAATATTTTACCGCATTGCTTCCAATTTCAATGCTCAAAGGCCACTTGACTTCCAAAGTTGCTTCATCCTAATGAGTCAATTGCCATTACGAGTTATTAGAACTTGTTTTTCTTTGCTTGAAGATTTACCTTCAGAATGACAAAGTTTTGATCCATGTTAAAGGTCAATTTGAAGATAGTCACACCCAGTACAATTCCTTAAAGCTCCACAGATGAAACCTGAAAATCACTGTAATTTATAATATCCATTTCCACAATATTATCAATTATTTATTATTAATTTTGTCTAATTATTGCTTTTCTATGCAGATTACCAGATAGCTCTTCTTTAACTACAATCAATTTGCAAACCTTGTTGGAGAAGTATTTTAAGGTGCAGTCACTGAGCTTGATGCTTATTATTTTTCAACCAACTTTATTTTATTAAACATTTACAGCACAGTAAGTTTAAGACTGTAATTAATGCAACAGGTTGCCCTAAGGGGTGCAGGGAGGGGCGGGGGCACCTAAAGGACGTCTGGGTGGTGGAGTGCTGCTTAGCCAGTTAGGGCTTCAAATCCTCGCCCATTTAAAGACAAAAACATTACTGTTCATTTGGCTACCCTATTAAAGGCGAGACTTTTTTCAGTGACCCGATTTGGTTTCATTTTATTGCGCACACAGATCTACCTAAGTGTTTTTTTAAGCTGACATCAAGGAATGCACTGTTTTTTTAAAATTAAACAAATTTTGGTACCACACTGTCTTGTAGATTGCACACTGCCAACAAAAAGATTCCTTTTTTCATGCATCTGTTCCAAATGTGAGAGGAGAGTCAACTGCTTGAAGTATGCCTCTTAGCCTGGTGCTACCCTGGCAGTAACTTCAAAGAAAATAGGTGACTGCTCGCAGCTCGCAGTTTTGACTCTCTGTTTTCTTTTTTAGGATGAAGAACTGGAATATAAATGTAGCAAGTGTGAAGCTAAGGAAGCTGTTATTTCACACAACTTCATCAGGCTACCAAGGTCAGTTACCAAGGTTATCCCACATAAGCTTCAACTATAACTTCAGTTATCCAGATTAAAAGTCTGGAAATTTTAAAGTTCAGGTAAAAGGCCATTTTACAGCGGCAGAGAGAAATGAGGCTGGAGTTGACCTAGTTTTGATACAGCCCTTCCTGCTTTCTTATGTAAATCATGTTGTTGTAATACTAACTTAATATTTTTCAACATTAATTTCCATAAGAAAACAAAGGAAGTTTGTATCAAAACATGGTCAACCTCAGCCTCTCATTCACTCGAAGGCTAGGGTACTAAACCCACAACTGTAAAGTGGTTTATGGAAAGTAGTGAACTTATGCAAAAGAACAGTGAAGGAAAGAAGGCAGCAAACCTTGTGCGACAAGCGCAACTATAATTATCAAAAAAAAATTTACCATCTTTCATTCTTTCACCAACAATAATAATATTGTTTGAAAAAACTTTCTGCCAAACGTCACTGTCCTAAGAACAGATCGTTTTCTACCAGAACACAGTATTGGTATAAGAGGATCATGACAAAACTCGCCAGACAGTAACAGCCCTGTCACATTTGTCACACAAACATTTTGCCATGTTTTTCCTTCAGCCATCCTGTTGCATAAGCTCACTCTTATTATTCATTCAAAATAAATTATTTCTCTGATTTTGATTGGCTCACATCTCTCAGCTTATTATATATAACCAGCTATAACCAGCTAGCATTAACCAAATTGAGAAGACGTTTGTGTTATGTGGAAAATTTCGTCAATAGTACAGGGTAATGGCCAGAAAAATTAGAGAGCTTTAGATTTATTTAGTTAAATCTTGTACTCTTAGTTGTCCTCATCGCCAAATCTAAAGCTCTCTGTTAATGGACTCAACCAAGAAGCCATGGGGAAGAGGTAGAGAGGAGGCATTGTTTTGGTAGAACTGTACAAAACCCTACCCTACCCTAGCTAATCTTATGTAGCTATCCAACTCTGCCTTGCAATACCCTGCTTAACATATTACTCTATTTACCTTACTTACCCTACTTTACTCTACTCTTTCCTACCTTCCCTACCCCAATCTCCACTGCCTTGGGCCTACCATGTGTGTACCGCACCCAGGTATAACCTGCTCATGACTGCTCTGCTCTACTCTACCCCAGCTGTACCTTAGGCTCAGTTTAGATGTCACTCCACTCCTGTGCCAAACCCAAACTGATGAATTAAGTACGGCATCTGAATCAATTTGGTACGACAGTTTTCGTTTGATGCGGCAAAAGGGCTATGTTTGACAGAGTCTGTGGAACTTTTGTCAAACTTAAGTTGGGCTTGACACACGGTGCGCCTTCTGAATCAGATGTGGCACCAGTGACGCTCCAAAGTCAAACTTATTCAATTAGGTTTGGCACATGACAAGTACGGCATCTGAACCAGGCGTTATTCTATCTTAACTCCAATCAGGGGTGTTGTTTCTACAGTATTATTCTGAATTGTTTAATTGATAGTTATTGTTCACAATGTTCTTTCAGGCTTCTTGTCCTTCACTTGAAACGTTATGAATATGACAACTTAACAGAAGAACAAGCTAAGAAACAGGACAAGGTCAACATTGAAAGGTTCATTGACTTGAGTAAGTGTCAGGGTTACGTGTTAGAAGTCAATCAAGTTTTACACATCTTATGGAGAGTATAAAGCTGAACTTTTATTGGGGGGGTGGGGGGGGGGGGGTTGGGGATGGGGTGAGAAACCTTAGTGAGCCCATGGGTGCCTACCATTTACATGGGAAAACCAGAAATTCCGGTTGGAAAATCAAATGGTTTGCGTCATTTTGTTTGGGAACCTTCAGAAAACATGGGCTGTGATTTGAGGCAATGCAATTTTTCTTCTCTTTTTAGTCTGTTCAGCACATTTGGATATACTTTGTATTGTATCGTTTTCCCACCGCGTCAATTTTACAGTTTTATGTTTATGCAGAAGATTTCTATTCGGGTGGTTTGTGTAGATGTTAAACACCCCATATTTATGTGCATTGCCAGTTAACTGCATGTTGTTTGTCTTCATTTGTTAGGTATGCTGTGTTCTTCAAAAACCAAGCCTCCTCTTGATTTCTGCCCCAAATCATTACTTCAAATGTAAGCTTTTTGTATCTTCTGCTCCACAATAAATTTTTACCTCAGTGATATGATAGTGGAACGTTTTTCTGGAGATTGATTAAGTTTTAACACTTTTCATGCACTTAAAAATAGGCCAGTTTATTTCGCTGATACAGGAGCAGTGCTAGACAGGCATTAGAAAGGTCTGAATTATTTCAGCCAAAAACATCAGAGGAAAAGCTGTTAAATCTAGCCATCAAATTATTTAACAATCACTTATTCAGCATTAGATATTTTGATAGATGTATATGAAATAAATCATATAATAACTGTGGAACTGAAATCAAAATGAAAAATGATCCTCGCATTTGTGAACGCAATTTATGCAACTGCTAAAGAAGCCTGAAAAATTCAGGTTTTCAACAGGGTTTGAACCCATGAACTCGCACTACCGGTGCCCGTCTTATAGAAATGTCTGTAAAGAAAGAGTTGGCTGTACCTTCATTTCTCAGTTCTCTTAAGACTTTGTGTATTGGTACGGCATAGGGGAGCGAAGGTAAGAACTTCTGCTCTGCAGTCAAGCAGCTGCGCTCTACCAACTTTGGTTATGGCAAGGTTTAGAATCCTGTTTTCTGCCACTACAGCTCTCTCTTAGGTGTATTTGGAATTTCCCCTCATCCATTTATTTGTTTTTTGTATACATGTACTTGTTAGAAGTGATCTCATGCCTTATAGTAATTGTCTGTGGGCTTCCTGTGCTAAGTTCTTAAATCGAAGTAAACGTTCCTGGATGTTTCCCCAGTTTTGAGAGGAAAGCATGGCGTGTTGACTTGTGTTTATCTCTTTGTTGAATCCGAATATTTTTTCCTCCATCGTAAGTACCCAAGAGAATCCAATAGTACTAATGTGATGTAATATTGTATGCAGGAGTCCTCCTAAATCAAAACAGAAACCTCAGAAGCGACACTACATCAGTGAAGATGATGATGATAGCAATGACTTTCAACCTTCTCCTTCAGTCAGAAGAAAATTAGATCACTCATTCCGGAATACCTCAGCTACAAGGTACTAACAGTAAGCTATGAAAAAGAAGGTCTACTTTATATTTGAATATTGTAATCTGCATTTGGCCCCAGGTTTACCAAATTAAGGGAAAAAAGAAATTTCCTAATTCCAATTCTTTGACATCATACTTTGAGAACTGATATACTTTCCTTTTAAAACCACAGAGGAAACTGATATTGCTCCAAAATGCCTCAGGGCCATACTCCATCACCTCTTAAAACTTGTATAATGCAACTGGCTCCCAGAAACCTCTTTTTCATTGTCCTTTGAAAACAAAGCTGCATGCCATTGTTTATAGGGAGAGGGACATTGTTTGAGTCTTTTATGACTTGGTTTTCATACAGATATTCCTTTAAAGTAATATGAAATAAGGTCTGGCAAATGTATCTGGATTTAGATAGACAGGGGCACCCAATGACGGTTTCCTCCCAAATGCATTGAAAACACTTTTTAGGTTATCCAGAGTACTTTTAGGCCTCTAGAAATGCATTCTAAGCAGGGCTCTAAATATAATTTGTATCTATTCAGTCATCCCAGGGGAACTTGAGTCTTTTCGAAATTACAAGGGCTTCAGTATTATTTTCCCGAAAATTTAAAATGCAATTTAGCGCACTACAAAAGTGAAAAGTTTTTGGTGTCTCTCCTTCTCATTTTTGAATGCGAAAATTTTACCTTTCCTTTTTCCTTGGAAAAGATAGCCTAACCTGGGGTGTGAAATGTGAAAAATCAAACTTAAGAAAATCGTAGGGAATTTATTAGATAAGCTTCGAAAATTGTACATGAATTGAACAGTCATCTAGAAATTTTTAGCCGCCCTAAAATAATAGAAAATTCTAAGCAATATTTGCTTCTCTCGAAAGTTTTTACAGAGAACAGTCGTAAGGTACCCCTGAATAGAGAGGTTTTTGTTTTACGACGTAACAGTTAACTTACTCACCTGTGTACTATTTTCTTTTTAGCCCATTCAAAATGTCTTCACGGACTAAGACTGCAGAGGCAAGTTTTAAAAGTGGCCAAGATGCTATGGGCTCTTTTGAACCCCATTTGATAGATAATTCTGATTCCGACGACAAAGAAAATAACGTTGATAGTCACATTTCTGCAGGCAACAGTCCTGTTTGGAGAGGAACAGAGGAGGAGCAGATGGAATGGGCAATTGCAGAAAGTACTAAATCTACCGAAAAGGCAGCTGGGTCAAGAACCCAGCAAGTGTCTTACACAGGAAAACATGCGTCAACTAAATCTCTATCTACAAGTGATTTTGTATTAGATACAAATGTGGGTGGCATTGAGACGGATGCTGTGTTGACAGAAACCAGTGATAAAGACTTAAAAAACGATAAAGCAAGTGTTGATTTGTCTGAAGACCCGGTGTGGGCCAGATCCGAAGAAGAACAAGTAAAGTGGGCTTTAAAAGAAAGTGCCAAGTCAGCGAAAAAAGCATACAACGCTGGGTCAATAATACAACACGAAAGTGGGAATGATATTCAACCAGCACCTGTGGATTTTGATGGAGGTGATTTCGTATTTATAAGTGATGTTTCTGATGATGATCTCATAAATGCTGCACCAGAAAGGAGAACAGGTGAACCAGTAGGGTTGAAAGGTGGAGGTCCTGTTACAAAAGAGACTTGTTTAGATGAATTTGTTGCCAGTGACGTGGATGGCTTCAGCATGGGAAGTGATGATGTCAGAACAAATGACGAAAACTGCTGTGACAATTCCGGTGTGGAAGTGAGCTCAAAGAAGCCAGTCATCCTTAAGAACACTCCCATCAAAAATTTCAACAAATACAAGAAAAGGAATGTTCATTACAAAGAAAAGACACGTACAGACAGTGATGTTTTGAACACAACACCAACCCTTGGAAAGTTTGATGGTAATCTTTTTGATGATGTTCCACAGCAGCCTAAGTCACCTTATAACAATGAAAGCCCTCGTAGTAGCAATAGGAGTAGCTGGTGTCCCAGGTCAGCTACAAAGTTAACCCCCCTTAGTGGCAATAGGAGCAGCTGGAATCCCAGCTCAGCTGCAAAGTTAAGCCCTTTTAGGAGCGATAGTAGTAGCTGGTATTCCAGATCAGCAGCAAAGTTCAGAGATGAAGACATGGAGAAGGCAATTAACATGAGTCTGCAAGACCAGGTGGGAACCGTCTTTGTTTGCTTCATTCTTGTGTTTAGCGCTGTGTTCTAGCAGTGCCTGGTAATGAGCCCTTCCAGCTCTGGCAACATCAAACCCATCGCCAATAGATAAGTGTGGGGCGGTGCCTGGTCAAACTGAGGGAGGTGCAAGCAAGCGCAGAATGTAACCATGACAACCCTGCAAGCAGCAATCACCAGGCACTGTCACACTGAGAACCTTGGTGGAGAGTTTTGTAGATACTTACCAAGGGACAACCAGAGGGAAGGGAGGGCTGGAAGCAAAAACAGCTAAAGTCTTCCATCATACAGTGCATGTCCTGTAAGGCATGCTATCATATTTGAGCATTTTTGTTTGGATTGGCAAAAACGACTTGAATACGCTGTGTGCACAAGTGATTTTTCAAATATGGAGAAAAAATTCTTTGTTTTTAAAAATGTTGGGATGTGTACAAGACTTTTAAAATTTCACCTTCTTGTAGTAAGAAAGGATGCCTGTTTGTATGGCCTGGATAGATAAGAGCTCTATCCCTTAGGCGCAGGGTTCTTTGCATGGTGAACCCTGAACTAGGCATTTCCACCCCTAAGAGGTACCAATTCAACAGCAACAAATTATGTAACTGGCACTGTAAATTTTAATAGCAATAAAGATAACTTTCGAACCCTTTCTTCTCAAGGACTTTTTGAAAGTATTGTCATAAATCTTTATCCTAATAAAGCGTATCATCTCTGGCAGCGGTCATTTTAGGTTTTAGCACCCTAAGTGGTACCAATCCACAAATGTGAACCCCTAAAAGGTACGTCAAACACCCCCGTCACTTTTATAGGGGAGAACTTCCCCCGGGGAACCACGCAGGTCAGGGTGGAAAGGTTATAGTGAACCAGTCAGTGCTTTCAGATAAAACAAGGATTGTCTATAAATCTAGGCCCTCACTAGCGATGCGAGCATGAGCATAAGAAACTCATGCACTAGTGAGGACAGCCATGATATAAGCTTAAGTATAACAAGAATACAAGGTTTTGATATACTTGTGTTTATCCCTATGCTTACGTCAAGGCTGTCCTTGCCCACGCATAAGCTGCTTATGCTCATGCTTATAGCATATGCTTGCGTCGCTAAAGTGAACCAGGCCAAAAATGCCTGTTGGTTAAAATTTGTTTAAGTCTTTGAAACGCCCAACATTTGCTAATCTTTCATTTTTTTGTAACTAATTCAAAACCACAGCGTTCGTTGAGTGAAGAAGACGAAGAACTGAACAGAGCTTTGCAGCTAAGCTTACAAGGTAGGGAGACACTTGCTACTTCAAAAGTTAAGTTTACTTTATTTGAAAAAACAAAAGTAAATTTCTCTATTGTGGAAGTACACTAAGCTGGCATAGCCACATGTACTCAACAAAGTTCTATTTGGCGAGACTGCTCCGTATTATCGAGGTACGGAATGTATGATTTTTGGCATTTCTGAGACCAAACGAACTGTCCGTAGTAGAGAGGTGTCCCTATTATAGGGGTGTCCGTAAGGAGAGGTTAGACTTAACTTAATAGGAGTAATTTACTCAAGTAGAATTTTTTTAGTCATTTCTGTGTAATATTTAATAAATTTAAATCTCATAGCCATAACGTGCGTATTTTCAAAACATTTTAATATACTTCCCTCCCCTTTGATGTACTTAAATCCTGAAAAGGTAGTGCCCCTGGCGGGTAGTTGATGGTATGACAGTTACAATAGAGCTCTTCATAACCTGGTGGTCTAGTTTAGAAAGGGTTGTAAATTTACATTTTTTTAGATGGGTCCACTGAAAATGCTCTCTGAAATTGATAAAATCCTGCCCGCTCCTACATAATTCAAGTGGCGTGAAAGGTCCTTTTAAGTCAGCAACTGATAATTTATTTATTTACATTAGTGGCTGATTGATTGATTGATTGATTTTTGAAGAATTTGAAGAAAAGTGTCCTCCAGAAGATCAATTAGTTTCTCCAAGAAGCGTGAATGTTACAGAAACCGAGAACTTGTCATATTATTCTACTATTCAGGTATTTATTAAAGTACCATTGTCACTGTATGGTCGCTTTCTATATTCAATGACTGGTAAAGTCAACTTCAGCTTAATAAACATAATCAAGTAGCATAACAGCAATAGAGGAGAGGAGTGATGAATTACAGCGTTGGTTAGCATACCGTGTGGCACGAAATTTTTGCGGGAGTTTGTTTTTGTGGATTGGCGATTTTTTGTGTTTTGCGGGAACTAATTTTCGCGATTAGCTCATATTAGTTTTTTTAACTTTTGCGATTTTCAGAAAGTACCCAGTACCCAGCATTGATAATATTTTCGTTGTTGTTAAGTACGTGTCATAGAAATACATTTTTTGAAAAACAGTGCTACGGTATGGGTACCCTATGTAAAACCAGTAATTCGTTGTATACCGTTTTGTTTCTGAATGAAAGAGGCAAGTTGTAATTGAACAGACACATTTCTTAGTACTGTCTTTTTGTGTAGCGAATTTGAGTTACAGAATATTTACTCTGGAGTAAATTTTTGCGGGAAAAAGTTTGCGGTAACTTTCGTGCCACACGGTATCTAGAAAGAGCAAGGTGAAAAATGTTTACTCGCTAAAAATCAGCCTGTTGGTACAAATTGATGGGTAGATAAAAGCACTGTTATGCTCTGATGACTCCATAGAAATCCTTCTAAAATAAGCCATTTCGCCTCTCTGACTTTTTGCTGGCTCCAAAAGGGGAAAATGATGAGCTTTCCCTTCCCCAACGCCTCCTGTCTCCATGCATTGTTTTACCGCTGTTTGGGCTACTTGTAGGAAAGAGCAAACACTCCAACTTTGAATGGAGGAGAAGGGGGAGGGTTATGTATTGATTCCCGAAATTACCTCATTTGAGGATAGTGGCTCAAAAGTTTTGTAGCCCATTGTATTTAATAGGCACTCTACTAAAATAATAAGAAACGACTTAACAAATAATCTGAAGAGAAATCAACAGGATTAAAAACCTCAACTTGCCAACCATAATGTAAACTTTTACTATGCTAAGTTTTGAAAATGTTAGAAAAGTCGGGCGATCCCACACCTATTTGAAAGATTGTTTTTGATTAGCTGGGAAAACAATAGGGATTGTCATATAACAATGCCCCTATCCCTGAAAACAATGGAAGTGCAGTTTAAAGGGGACCAGTGAAATAAGAGGTTTAGAACGGTGCACGTCTACTGTAAAAGTCCCCTGCTTGGGTGTTTATAGTAGAAAGACGACCAAGATGTTATACCACCATTCTGATATTTCGATGTCACTGAGACATTTCAATAAAATGGTTGTGGTTTTTCTCTTGTGAATTTTAGGATGACGAAAGTGAACTTTCAACACATTCCTATCGACTTATTAGTATTGTCAGCCATCTTGGTACAAGTTCTACTTCAGGTTAGTCAGTCCAACCTTTTCATTCCATCCATTGTTCTATTCAGTTGCTTTCTTTTGAGTGGCAAAACTTTAAGATTTCATTTATGGAGTCAACCCTTTAAAAAAACCTTGTACAGAATAATAAACAGCTCTACTGTACTGCTCAGTAGCTTTCTTTTTTAATGGTCATACTTTAGGATTTCATCCACAGTTAAGACCTTCTGGTAAATTCCAAGGGCTTAAATTTTTTAGATTAGTACAGATTAATGTCCTAAAACGTTTAAGGACGAATTAAAAGATTACAATATCGTATTGAGGTATCAGTTTGAAAACTGAGAGCTGTATTGTCAACAGAGTATTTCCTTTATTGATCCAGGGCACTATATCTCAGATGTTTATGACTGCAAAACTAAGCATTGGACTAGTTATGATGATTCTACTGCCACAAAGGTAAGGGTACAGAACGCAACAATCATAATCAGTCTTCATAGCCAATGGCATCTTGGCCAATAGCCAATAGCGTCTGACAGATAGCCAAAAACGTCCACAGGCAGCCCAAGCCCACAATAAATCATACGGCAACAATTAATATTATAAGACGCTCTATAACAAATATTCCTATTTGCGAGCAGAATGTACATTAAATTACACTTTGAAGCTTACCGTTAGCAATTTCTCTTAGTTATTTGTTTTCGTCCTCTTTGTCTCGTTGAAATGCCGAAATCCCGTGAGCAATTCTGACCCTACTTAGCTAGCAATTATTCATACGGCAAAAACAGTAGGAACTGAGCTTGAGCTAACTGTGTAACATCTCGACCTAATTGACGAATAAGGTCAATAACTAGAGTTAAATACCATCAACTGACGTGATACAACTCACTTTGACTCCTAGGGATGACTACCACACAGGTTGTGGAAACATCAGTCTATTCGGGACTACACTCGCCCAGACGATCATATTCCAGTTTGCTACTTATGTCCTGTTTTTTCTAACAAAACAGTGGCGGATCTAGGGGGAGGGTCCAGAGGCTCGGACCTCCCCCTCCCCCCAACTTGATGCTAGTTTGAGACTGAAATTCGTACATCGACAGGATCGTACATCACTTTTAAACTGGCTGATTTTTTTAATGAAACATGCGTTGCATTTTGCCACTATACTAAATTCCTGGGATATTTAAAAATGTAATTGTTTTTGGGTACCCTGCTATGATCTGTTCGCCTCTGCTCGCAAAGCAGTACACGGCAAGGGGCCAAGGAATTATAACGTGCAACCGAGACTGGTGTGGGGGTGTGGGGTGAAGTAATTTGCCACAAAACAGTTCAACAGCCCTTTCCGAACCAAAGTTTGGACCCCCCCCCCCCCCAATCAAAAATTCCCGTGGATCCGCCCCTGCAAAATCATCTGTAGAGCCCTTCTACTAAATGTTTCGAATGTTGTTGCACCTGTCAATGTGTTTTCATGTCTACAGGTTGCGGAGCATGGTGTTCGTTACAAAAGGCAGCAAAGTGGCTACATCTTTTTTTATTTGTACAAGTAAGTAGACTTGCTTGTCATCCAAATCTCGTAAACCCTCGGTTACTTCTCGTGTCTGAGCCTGGTTCCATGGTTCTCTTTTAATTGACCTTTTTACTGACACGGCGGCCATATCGAATAAGTTACATTTAAGGAGTATTATAGGATACCCAGGATACCCGGGGGGTGGGGGGGCATGAACACATTACATTTCTTAAAGTTATAAATGAGATTGTAATCTGAAAAAAGATCGTTGTGCCGTGTTAGGATGTAATAATGATCGCCTTTTTCCCGAGAAATATACAGGGAAAGACCATATTTGTAATACTAAACGAGTACAACAGATCCTGCTCATGCCCCACGGGGCATTCCGTAATACTCCCTTAATCGAATTAATTCAATATGGCCGTCGTATCGGTAAAAAGGTCTATTGCGCACTTCTTGAGTACCGAAAGGTGTATCCCATTCGTTCTCACCCTCAGCTCCTATCCTGTCTCTTGACTGCTCTTAAAGTGAGGATTTTTTTTATATCACTATTCTTATGTGATCTTACAACGGGGTATAGAAAGGTATTATCGAGATTTGACCGAAATACAGTGCGCAATTCGGGCAGACGACAAATGTTTTGACGGGATGTGGAATTTTGTAAACTTGAAAACTGTGAAATGGTTGATCCTTGTATACCTTTGGATTAGTTGCCATGGATAACTGATGATTTTTTTTTTTTTTTGAAGTTAAAAATCATCGTCTTTCCTAACAACATCGTTATCATTATTACTATGTATCTCCTTTGGGAAAACAATTAGGCTCGTGTTACTTAAAGATTGTAGCATTTTAAAGTGACAAGATTTATGTTGTTTAGGATTTTGCCGAATGGTTCAATTAATGCCATGTTTGTTTGTTTGTTTTTTTTTCCAGACAATGTGTAGATGCCATAGAAAATTCAGCTTCAGTCAAGGAGAAAAAATGAAGAAGAGATGAGTTTATTTTTGTAAAGAGACTTTATGAACGATGTCACGTTCATCAAGATTGTTGAAAATTCCCGGACACACTTCTGTCTTTTCTGCTCAAGACCTTCAAACGTTGTTAAAAGTGTAGCGTGATGTTTTTGAGTCACGTTTCATCAAAGAGTATATTTCGATTCCTTATAGTAGTTGTTATTAATTATCACCAGGAGTATTTTTATATGAGATGGACAATTGGTTATTTAATTACTGGTATAAGGAAAAATCAAATTGAAAGCCTTCTGTAACAGACATCACCAATTACTGTGAAACTTTATAGAAACTATTCCTTGCAATTTTTGTTCTTTGTCACTTGAAGTCAGCGAAAAGGCTTGCCCATCGTCCCTAGCGCGCCTTCCTCCCTCTCCCCAGTTGCACAACAGAGGGTGCTTGGAAGAGAGGCAGACTCGTACCCATTCCTCGCTCATTTACTATTCTCTATTGGTGATGACATCTGGGAAGATGCAAATAAAATTCGCCGTTTTCTTTCTTCCTTCCCATATGCAACCTTCACTCAATAAACACTTCCCATCAATCAGAGCGTGAACAAGAGAAGAGACTGGGTACAATTCAAGGAGAGATGGGGAGAGTCCTGTTAGTTTCGTGTCATTTCAAGATAATTTTTACACAAAAAAGATTCGTAGCCAACAGGTGCTAGAACGTCGTTTTGTATACTTACCTTGCTTGAAATATTATTCAAGCTAAATGTAAATAGCAGTCATTCAAAAGAAGACCAGATTGAAAAGAAATTATAGGGTTTGAAATTGTACCCGTATAATTAAATAGATTATTCAAATATAATATTGTTATAATTTTGTGTGATCAATATTTGCATTCAAACCGATTTAGTTTACTTTAATCTTCTTGTAGTATATTTACCGTCCCTTATTTTTTCGTGAGATCGTCCAGCTCGAGCAGTTAATGTAATGGGCAGCCATTTTGTTTTCAAGAGTATAAGTGCATATGAAACCAAGATGGCCGCCCTTTTATGGTCGAGGGAATATCGCTGCGTGCATAACATCGCAGGTAAATTACGCTACAATTTTTCCCCTTATTCACTGAAAATCGTTCTTCGTTTATGACTGGCTCAATCCCGTGGCTTATTCTTCATAACCAGCTAGCATTGACCAAGTCTGGAAGACGTTTTCCGGTTTCAGATATCCGATAAAATGACGTCAATAGTGAGGGCAAGGGAGGTTTCCTCCCCTTTTTTCCTCTCTAGTCTCCCCACGTTTTTTTTTTATCTCCGACAATTTTTCGCCCGCGCTCTACTATGTGAACGTTGAAGAAGCCAGTATCAAATTCAAATCCGCATTCCTGCAAGCAGAATGAACTGTGAATTTGTGACTTTTTACTGACTGCATTTTCTGAGTATTAGGCGACATTAAAAAATCTTTGAAGGGCTAAAACCGCTTTGAGAACAGATATGTCAAATTCAAGAAAACTAAGCCGGCAGAAATTTCATAACTACCTCGCGCTTGAACTCACTGCTTATTACGCCTTCGGGAATGCAGAATGAGATAGAAGCCGGAAATCTACAAGTACTAACGAATGCAACTTTCGAATAATATAAAATTTATGGAATCTTGGGTTACGCCTGTACCTGGCTTGACTGTAAAAGAGTTTTGTTGCATACAGGGTCGGGAAATCGGGCATTCCCGCTCTCTTTTCTCGAGAATCCCGCATCCCAAGTGTTGTAGCTATCCCGCATTTCGTTTTCTTTCCCAACCACGCATCCGTGTTCAAATTTGGCGATTCCCACTTCCCAGACAGTAGTTCAAGCTCGTATCCCGTCAACGTTTCCCGAATCCCACACCGTATTTTGGCCGTACACCGCACCCGGAAATACATTTCCAGACTGAACAAAAAAAAATATATCAAACGAGAATCAAGGCAAGAACATGATGATTGGTAATATTTTAGGGGAAACAAGAGATAATGATTTCGATGTTAGTAGTAACAATCCCAGACATCCGAAAATAGTTGGGTCAAAGGGAAAATATATCGTTTATAATTTGCGTAAGAGCAAGACAGATCAATAAATGATTTTAATGATGTTTTAGAGCGCTTTCAAACTAATTCATGACAATGCAAAGGCGTGTGACATGATATGAGCAAGACTGAAAAAGTTCTCCAATATTTGCGTATGACCATTTATGAAATTCTTGTGATCTTATGAATTTGCCTGAAAATGGAAAGTTGCTCTATAAGTTTGTACAATAAAATATGAACAGAAAATTATGTTAGGTGAGAATATTAGGACACGCTGTCAAAGTCATTCAGACAATTACACCTTTTGCTGTTCATTAATAGAAAATACGCATTCATTTTCGTCAAACGGCAAAACCATCACTAACCATCAATTCTAGGGTTGTTTTTCTCGTACGCCAAAAATAGAGAAAATTTAGAAATAGAGAAAATAGAGAAAGTTTTGTGCCAAAATCATTTTGAACTATTACACCTTTTGCTGTTCTTTACGAGAAAATCATACGCAATCATTTACGCCAAGATACATTCATCAGCTCGAAAAAACGAACTTTTGCGCATAAATCAGATTCAATAACGATTTTTGAATGCAAAATTGTCATTGAGTCTGATTTACGCGCAAATTTTCACTTTTTCGCGCTAATAAATTATTAACTCTCTTTGCGAGGCGCATCGCGCCTCGCTTCGCTTGGATTAAACAAAAGAAGCAAGGTTGATTTTACAGTCGGGAATATATATATATATTTTACCAATATTTCAGAAGGCACGGCCTTCCTTCTTCAGGGTCTTACTTACATTGATAAGGTTAAGCTAAGATGTTACAGTTTGAAATAAAGAATAGCGTGCAGTACTTCGATACTATACTGAATCACACGTAAAAATTTGAATAAAAAAAAGTATATGAAAACAAAAACTGTTGAAGTAGTGATATGAAAGAAATTTTTAAATGTAAAAATAGTATAAATAAATGATTGCAAATGGCAGAAATAAGGAATTATTACATTTCATATTTCTTATTGATACCTGAAAGGTTCGAGAGTTTTGTCTCTAGTCTCGATGAGGTATGCTTCTCTAGCTTTTCCTACACTGTCTTTATTAAATTCTAGTGGAATGAAGTTTGGTGTCGTTGGCAGAGTGATCATTACAGTAGTAAGAAAGTGTTCTGAGACTGTGGTGGGTTTGGAGATGTTAGATAGGTTGTCAACTGGTCTTCGGTGTTCTTTGAAACGGTCTTTAAGTCGTCCTATTGCCTCACCAAACAGTGGTTGCATTGTATCATGTAAATTACGTTTATAGAGTTACTGTCGATCTGATGAGTGATAGGTCTGGTTTCACTTGGAGAGTGGAATGTGTATGAAGTTTGTCCGTCACTGAATCAGTATGTATTTGCAAGTAAGACAGTTTTTTCCGCATGGGTATGAGCCCCAGGGCTGGGCAGGGTTCACGGCTGTCTGCTCACTCCCATGGGTGTTGCATGCATTTTCCTATCTGTATAACAGATAACAGAGTTCGCAAAAATAGGAAAATAGAGTAAGTGAAAAATAGTCTTGATGGCAGTCTCACTCTCTTGCTCTCTACTAATCTCAAACCAGAGATCCTCCATTCCCCATTATTTTCCATTATATGGAGATTCGTAGTAGATTAATCGTAGGACAAAACTATTAAAATTGCGATGTCGGTGTCAGGCCACTTTTTTTTTTGCGGTGATACGATGTTTGTCATTTTTTTTCTGCGGTGTCACGGTGGGGCAGGAGGGTGTAGACAGTGCCCCAATGTCGAGTCCTCCTCCACAAATGTATTACTGGTTTTACTCAGTTGAAATACTCGTCATTATTGCAAGTTAAATTTACTATTAAATTTGTTCCATCCATAAATGATTTGATTTCGAGAACAAGACACTACAGTCAGGGGCACAAACATTTACGAGTACTCGAAAAACGCGCGAAGCGAGCGTTTTGAAAGCTCGCGCGCGAGGCTCACGCGCCAATTAAGACTGGGTTCCAAAAAGAAACCAATATGGCGGCTTATATGTCTAAAAACACGTGTGTCGAAAAATTAGACCCAAAGTGACATTTTTAGACTTCAGTAACTCGGATTTGATCTCCATCGGTTCTTTAACTTATTCATTAACACTTGGATGTATTCATGGCATAAAAATTCACGGATGTAGGATTGCAGAAGTAGTGAAAAATCAGGCACATGTCCTGTGAGGTAAGCTTATGTTTGTGTACCTGCCAACTCTCACGCCTTAGGCGTGAGTCTCACGCCTGAGGGTTGAAAACTTCGATCTCACGCCCGCTCACGCCTGCGGACCAATTTCTCACGCCTGATTGAAAAATGTGGGTTGTTGCCGTCTTGCTTGACACAATTTCCAAAAATATGTTTTAACATATTTTTGAGTTAAAACTCAGACCCATGTAAGGAACGAAAACCATGTGTAAAATGAATAAATGACAATACCTTCCTCGCGATCTCTGATTTTGTGGATAAGCGTTTTCTCGATAACTTCGCCTTCGGCAGACTTCGGACGTCTTCGGAAGACTTCGGACTTCTTCGGGAATCTTCGGAAATGATCGTGTCGTTTTCAAAAATCCCAGCACTCCCAGGATAAAAATCTCACGCCTACATCTCAGAAAAAGTTGGCAGGTATATGTTTGTAGAAAGCTTAACTTTAAGTTTAAGGGTGTTTTGCAGAAATTGTTCTTCTCATAAGCAATAAATATTTAGGTAATGGTATTAAAAGGATCAAGCTTATGTGTTAAATCATCAAGTAGTTCTAAAAGAATTAACCCTTCCCCAAATTTTAACCGGGTCATCCTAGGTGTAAAAACCTGTGAAGTTTTTCTTTGTTTTCTAGCTATTATTTTCAAGGGGATTTTTTGTATTTATTGTTTTTTGTCACTCGTGAGTTTCACAGGTTTTTACACCGAGTACGAGCCTTTTAAGCATCCCTTTAGTCTGGTACAAATTACAGTGAAAACATCCCATCAGTATAAAATGCAGAATTCGGACTGTGGACAGCGGACTGCTGACTGGGTATAAAACACTGACTTGGTATAAAATGAGGACTAGAAACTATGGACTGAGTATAATACATGGACTCGGTATAAAATGCAGACTACAGGCTGTGTATATAAAAACAGCTTTAGAAAGATAAAACTGTGAGGAAGGGATAGCAGACTAGCATAAAAAGCTCCTTGCATCACACAAACATTCCTTTGGCTGGTCAAGCAGTCTTTTCTGCCCAACGTCAGCATCATGTGGAGAAGGAAAGAATACTGCGCAGGCAAGGAAGGTTAGGAGGGGATGCAGCCTGAAGCAACCTGCATTCCTTTTCTTAGTGAATATGTTACACTGTAAGTGCATCAGTTCCACGAAGATCCACCTTCAATACAGCTTTATTTTGAACAAAATAAGATGTGATTTACTGCAGTTAAGTTTTCTAATCCACATTATTACAGTATGAATATACTTGTACTGTACATGTAAGTCAATATTTATCAATATTTTCTTTAAGCGATGGACTGCATTGTGTCACATAATTTTGGGAGTTTTGATGAAGAGGAATAACATGTTAACCTGAACGACAACATGATACAATCAAAATACAAGACCAGCAAGAAAAGGCGACTCTGAAGGCGAGGTA